ATGTCTGATCTGACAGATTTATTGATCTGGTGAGCGCAACCCTGAGTGAGAACTCTGTCACATTTTTTGATTTAGTTCCCACATGGGTTCTTACATTGACATCAAACGGGCCCATAAATCCAACGGGAGCAAACACAGTGCAACAGGGTCACAGAAAGGTAACTCTATTTGTCTCCTCTGGAAGACCTCTTGAGTCGGTGTTTATTAATGGCCGAAGGCGTTCAAACACATCTGGTCTCTCACTTAGTCATGACTCGATCTGCGTGTTTAAAGTGTGCATAAGCTCTTTAAGCTGTTTCCCCCATTAGCTCCGGGTGCTATGAAGAGCTTGTATCCTTTTCATGACCCACTAATGGTCCTAGCTTGATTAACTCCGGACCCTGGCAGTAAGCGGGATGTTTTTTCTGGTGCAATGCCTGAGAACAGAGCACGGTTGCATAACTGACAAGGAAGTGGCCTGGGTCGTAAATAACGTGCCTGAAATGATCCATCTGGGAGCGGCACTTTTAGTGGAGGCTCCTAATTTGCAGCCTGGTGGCCTTCATAAAGACCCCAGAATACATTGCCAAATCATAAACTGTGTTTAACCCATGCACCCCACTCCCTCTGTCTGTTTGCATTTTCCTCTGGCTTTCGTTCTGTTTCCAAGCATGTAGGACGTCTCTTTCTTCCCCTGTCGGCCGGCTAAACTCATGGGTTTGATGACATAGAGGCCCCTAAAGCACTATAATGGATGCATTTCACCAAAAAAAGATAAAAAAAAAAGAATTTAAAAAAGTCATAATTTACTCACCCTGATGTCTTTCCAAACCTGTATGCTTTTCTTTCTTTTTTGAAACACACAAAGGAGATATTTTTGAAAAAAATGTTTTGGTCCATACAGTGAAAGTCAGTGGCTTTCATAATAAGGATAAAAATAGTTAAAACATTCTACAAAATATCTTCTTTTGTGATTTTCAGAAGTTATACATATTTGTAAAGACATGAGGGTGAGTAAATGATGGCAGAAATGTAATTGTTTGAGTGAACTACCCATTTAAGTAATTTGCAAAACGCACATGCCTATTCCATTAAAAGTGACTACATGCAGAGATCAATTTGCATAATCAACGTCAAGTCTTTGTGTTTGTCTCCACTGTAATCTCAATATCAGAGGTGTAGGCCCTTTGCAGCTAGATGAAAGCGTGAGTGTAATAAACAGCCTGGTCATAAAGGCGAGGTGATCTGGCATGGCTGCGCAGCCCTTATGTAATTTCTCGCCTGGCTGTGATGTTCGCGGTTCTGTTGTTGTTCCTGCTTTGATCTACCACAGTGATAACGGTGTTTCAGAAAGCGACGCTAATGAAAAAAGATATAGCGGGAGTGGAAGTTCACCACAGCTCTCAGGAAAGATGCTTGCTGATAAGAACACTGCTCTTCTGTGTGCTTCATCTATAGAGGAAGCATTAGCGTAGCATTGTGTACTCTGGTATATCCAGGTGTAGTGTCTGATATGGGAACATGCAACTGTTAATTCTCTGCTACAACCACATTTCAGGATATAGATTAGGAATATTCATCTTAAAGGGATAGTTTACCCAAAAATGAAAAATTATGCCTGGATATACTGACCCTCTGACAAAATTACTGGTTGCTCTTTTCTTTACAATTCCAATTAATGGGTACTGAGGCTTTAAAGCACCAAAAAAAGACAAAAACAACTGATTTGATTCCTAAATCAACTATTTATTTCCATTGTTTTGCCCATTGGAGAAGTTGTTTGTCATGTATAACTAACAAATTAAATTTTGTTATATAAATTACACGTTGATTGAAATGTCATTTACCCCAACACTATCCCTTTAAAATGATACAATATAAATATTGGATTGGGTGAATTCAGTTGTATTGAGCAGTTTTATACCATTAGATTCTGTCTTGTCATAAGAACAGTGCCTTGCAAAGAACTTGCTGTTAGCACTCTCACTATGCATGACCTTTAACCTCATGCCTCAATTGCCCATAATTCTCAGCAGACAGGGCAACTGAGGCATGGAGTTCAGCCCCTTGCTGGGGGTCAGCAAAATCTCGTTTTGTCAGATCAGCTGCTGAATGATAGATGAATGACATGCTGAACTAGCAACAGTGCTAATCAGGAGCACTAAAGAACCATTTACAGTGACTTCCATCCAGTTCCAGGTGTCAGGAACGTCCTAAAGGGAGCTGATAGGATTAGCCATAATTGTCCAATACGCTGAACACAAACTAAGAAAAAAAATCTATAAATCGTGTATGTTAATATATTTAAAGCTAGTTGAGATTCAAATATTTGCCTTGATGATTTGTTTTCTCTTATTCAATCAACCATGACATTGCTCTTTTAAAGTGCATTTTTAGGATTTCTGTGGCTTTTTGAATTTCCTCATAAGCCGCCTTGATCCGTGAGCCAGGAAATATGGATTGAAAGAAAAAAATGGGATTACAGACTAATATGGAAAACAGATTCGACAGAATAAAGTACTGCAGTTATAAATGCATAACCACAGACCTGCAACATTAAGATTCCCACTCATGAATCCGCAGGGACTGAGTCGATCGGAAACATGTACAAGAGCTCTGAATTGAATTATCAGTACTCTCACTGCGATGGTTTATGAGGCTTCTCTGAGGGAGATTCACATATGAGGAGTAATTAATAAGCAGTGTTTTGTGAAAAAATGTCTCGTCTGTGTTTGGGAATAATAAATCCTACTGCGGGAGGGGGAAAAGTCATTGTCTTTTTTGTTGTTTTGTTTTTCTGTTCCACATGTGTTTTTCTACATCTCATAGGGATTCTGATCAAAGTCTGATCACTGAGGATGGATTGCAAACATGGTTTAAGGATTTCAAGCAGGCTTTGCAAGCAAATATGAATACAGTGAGAACTGTATGAGACGTCTATGATTTATGTTGTGGTCTGATTTATCTTGTATTTAACTAACCCTGGTCTGAACCTTCCCGCTGGGGTCTGAACCCTTCTCTATTCTTGCATACAGCTCCCCAATTTCATGACTCTTATCCAACTTCACGTTCTTCTTGCAGCATTTCTAACGGCCCACTCTGGGGCAATAAAAACCAGTCCCCACAAGAGAGTCCTATTTATCCTTTAACTGAGCATGTTGTAATTTATTTTCTACTCAACATCAGGATGTGCAGCATAGCTGTAATTGATGGGGAAGCTGCTACATGAATGCTTATGTGGTTTATCTGGCAGCCAGAGGTTAGAAAGATCCCACATTTCTATTTATTTTTCATTGTTACTTGTATAGAGGGTTGAACTTAGTATTTGCACTTCAGATGTGGGTGAATTCAAATGCTATCTTGCTCAAACTTGATGTTTGCACATTGAGGGAATGCCAATCGCAGTGTTATTTTAGCATTTTTTTTTTATATGGAATATATTTAGAATTAGCTTTTATTTTTATATTTTCAGTTTTCGTTTTTATTTTATTTTAGTTATTTTGTGCTTTTGCCATTTTAATAGATTTTTTCTTTCTTTCTAATATCTGCTTTATATCAGTTTTAGTAGTCTTAGTACTTAAAGTTCTTTTTATTTTATTAGGCTGCCAATATCTTATTTTTAATACAAGTTTTCTAATATTTATATTTTATTTAATTTCAGCTTTATTAATGACAACTATTTTTAATAGATTTAGTTTTAGTCAATAATAAAACCATTGGTCAGTTAAATAAGTGTCTAGTTCGTTTTCAATGGGAGACATGCGTAAAACGGTAAAATGTAGGCGGTTTTGCTGTCGGTGCACAAGCGCACGCCCAAAGTCCTGCTGATCCACAAGCACAGCTCTTTGTCGCTGCTGAAGATAAACATATTTGATCTTTTTGTTTTAACCAATTAACAGATTATTAACAACCAATCATAGAACAACATTTCACTGAGCTCATATCAGTGTTGAAAACATGATGGAGAAGATCGTTTTAATTGTGTAATGAAATCGTGTGTGTGTACAAGTTGGTTTACCAGGTAAAAATACAAATTACGTGCAGAATGTCATAGTTAACTCAACTGTGTCTGACATGAAACCTACACTATTCATATTCCCATGAAATGAAAAATAAATATTATTTTTGTATTTAGTTTTTAGAAAATACAAATTCACTGAGAGAGAAAGCATCAGCCGGGCGATTCCAACGCTTACCACATGGGAAAGGGCCTTTATTGATTTAATTAATGTAATTAATAAATACAATTAATCTATGTTAAATATGTAAATAAATATATTAAAATTAAATTAATTCATTGAATAGACATTGGGAAGGTATGATTAAATTGCACTTTTTTCAATTTTGTCTTTTTTAATTAGCATGTTGAATTGAAAAAAAAAACTGTAATTTGAATACGTTTCTAAATCAACAGCCTTTACTAAATAGCCTCTCAGATCACATCATGAGTGCAGTGCTTTCACTGCAGGAGTAATTTTAGCAAGGCACGTGTGTATTTTTACATAACGCAAGAGCAACAGTGGGAAGGATTTGTGGTTAAATATTTCCAGCTTGCCATAAAGCAAGCCCTGTGATTTTTCCCTGGTCTCCCTGTAACTTTGTGCTTTCAAAATGTTGTACTTTGTTCTGAGAACAGTTACAATCGAGCCAAACCTTCAACACAAAGATAAAGTTTGAGGTAACTCAAGCCCTGCTTTGAAAATAAACCAAGCTCACATCTTTGTTGTATCTTCTCAAAAGAGACAAGACTAAGAAAAATGAAGTAAAACATATCTGACTTATTTCACTTCTTTCCACCAGCAGCACGGTGAATGTTTCTGACAGAGGAACGAGTCAGCGCACGTGCTAGAGCACCAGGTCAAGCCTGTTGTGTTGGTGAGTATGAAGTGCTGAAGAGGCATTCACCGCTTGTGGGACGACAACACAGACTTTCCAACTATATAACGCGCAGGGCTAGTCTAACTACAGCTTTACTTTGTGAGCCTGGAATTCGCTGATTTTAAAACATCCCAATAGAAGACTTTTGTATTTAAAACTGCTTTTTATTCAGATGCTGTATTTACAGTGACAGTAGTTAAAAGGTGATTGATACAAACTTTAAAGTACGCATACAGTACAGCGTTCGATTGAGGCTTTTTTTTGTCCATTCTGTGTTTATCCAACAACTCAACCCACAGGTCACTGATAACCTTAAAATGGTCCTGGAAATAAGGCACTATGTGCTCTGGCGTGCCGCCTTTTTCTTCTAACTCATTGCTTCTGGAATACTCCATAAGAACTCCATAGCTGTTTGACTATAAAAACATGTAACACTTGGAATGTGTCGTTTCCAGACCTCTCATGTCCGTCCCTTGAAAGTATTCATGCAGGTGTAGCTTCCTGAGAACTTGTGGATTTCTTCGAGGGCACTCTGCGGTAGCATACTGTTTGATGGGTAAAACAAAGTGGGTTTCCGAAACATATTTGCTGAAATAATTTTCTTTTGAAATCCAATTTTATTTGTAAAATAAATCAGACTGTACCTTTTGAGGATAACGAGTGCATGCATGGTCCAGGGTAAGTAAACAAAAGCTGTATTGGTCCTAGCAGCATCCACTGTTCTCTGCGCTACCACCTCTGGCTTTAGAGGAGGGAAGAGTTGGGGAAACCTGCAGAGAAAACCCCCAGTTAAATACACTTGTGTTTGTTGGTTGTCACACTTACAAATATTGTATTTGTACCATTGTATTACATTTAAAAGGTAGGTGGTCCAGGACTTTATCCATTGGGAATTGATTGGATCATGAAAAGTGGGCGTTACACACCAGAATGAAGCCAGACCAAATGATAGTTTGCTAAAACAATGGCTTAAAAGCGATTTGGCTTTTGGTCAATATTATAAAAAAAGTCTGACCATGTGAATACTAAAGTTGATTTGGAGGAAAAGCCAATTATTGCATTCTGATTAAAGATTATGAAGAAAATTGTTTTGGAATAATGAGAAATCATTCAAAATAAGACGACAGCCACGCATTAGCAAAGTAAATAGATGTCACATTGACGTAAAAATACTTGAAATGATGTTCCAGCCCATTTTACTTACTGCCAACTGAAACAGAATATTTAAGAGAAAATATGGGGTGGAATTTTATTTTAGCCATCCATCAACCATTTACATGATTGTGGAAAAGCTGCCTATATGAGTGGTGTTTTTAATAGTTAATCCAGTTGTGCTGTACCCATGTGCTCTGCAATTTAAAACTTCAGCTCACCTGACTCTCATGCCCTGAAACATTTCAGTGTTGGTGTGGAACGGGAGGACAGTGGTACAGCCCACGCCCGGGCAGTCCAGCAACCCCAGAGTGAGGCTTTCCATGAAGGCTAGAGATGATGCTTTAGAGGTGCAGTAGTCTATAGCACCAGGGATGGGTGACAGAGACAGGATGGAGTTGACACACACAACATGGCCGTTTTGCAGTTCCAACATACGAGGCAGGAAGGCTTTTGTGGTCTGTGGATGAAAGGATTATTAAAAGGTGAATTAAATCCATGAAAATTGTTCATTATTGAACATAATATGTAAATGTCTGCATGAAACCGAAGTTTGCAATCATCTTTTCTTCCCTATTGTAACGCATATCCAAGTAAAACAGCTTCTCGAATGAGAAAAAAAAAAAACAATTAGGGCGGGACTTGATTTTTCTACTTACCCAAAACTGACCCATTGTATTGATGTGCTGTGACTTCAGAAGAGCATCATCATCACTGTCCAGCAAACTCTTCCCATGCACCACTGCAGCATTATTCACTAGAATGGTAACATCTCCCACCTACCATCAGAACAACATACTCACTGTGAGACATTCTTTCCAAAGCAGATTATTCGTTTTCCTTTATGGCTAGTTAGCTCAGCCATTCTGCTGGGCCTTATCTAACCCAGACATTTCATGCGAGGTGTAATCTCTATCCAGGCTATGGGGGTGGAAGGCAGCAGAGCTGAGACAAAGCCAGCACTGGGGTTATTAGAGGTTATTAGAGCCAACCAGTTTGAACTAATCTTATTATAATCGTATTAAGAAACTCCTCGGGGTATGATATTATGGGGCATACCTTTTCTCTGACAACCTTGGCTTGCTTGTAAACTTCTTCTCTGTTGGCCACATCGCAAACAAAGTAATGGCACTCTGTCCCAATGAGGGCGATCTCCTCGCACGCCTCCTTCAGACATTTTTCCGTCCGGCCCCACAGGATTAGCTGTTTGGAGATAGGGACCAAAGGTCAAAGGTGAAACAGAACAGAAAACCGACCAGAAATATAAAGGTTTACAAAACATAATGTGATCTGCCACACTGGCAATAAATCATCTTTCTGTAAGCAAAACCATACTAGGTCACTGTTCAATAGCGCAGATAAGTGCTTGGTCATGAATTAGTGTCTCAAATTAGATTTAATTTGCCTGAAAGTATTTCATATTGTCAGTTCGTGTGCTTGAATGGTGTCTTACCTAATTTATCAAGTCTTGTTCTTCAATTTGGGAGTATACTTGTAAACACAAGAGGCTATGTGGCCTACAATTCATGCCAAGACTTTTGACAGAAAAAGCATGAGTCAGAATATAATCTGGTTTTGTATTTCATTATGTCTCTTTTAAATTAAAAACACATTTACTTATAACTCTATATGAGGAATAGCAGAAATATAGTACTCCACAGAAATTTTAGAATTATATTTTAAATCAGAATTAAAAATTTTACCCCAAAAACTTGATCCATTTCTGAGGAATATATCCCACACCAACATGTGAAACATAGTAGTTATAGTAAGAACAGAAGAGGCCATTTCATTGAAGGAACAGTGGGGCTATTTTTCACAGGCCACTATTAGTTTGGGGAAGGATTAAGAGAGATGACTGCATGAATGGATCGGCTGGGACAGGGAACATGGGGGGCAGTGATTGGTCAATTAGATTTTTCAGTCTGAGAGGTCAAGGAAAGGTAATGAAATCAGTGATGCTGCCTCATCATCTCTCACAGACAAATTCTCATAAAGATTACACAGTCTGCTGGGCGTACTACGGACCCGGCCATTTTCTGCTTCAACAACCACAAAATAGTGTGTGCACAATAGTGTGTTGGTTAACTTGGCTGTCCTTTCCGTGCAAGTTTGGCTGCAGAAGTTAGCTAAAAATGACAAACCGCATGAATAAATGGCATGCTCATTTAGAAAAATGATTTATGATAAATATTTATTTATTTATTATTAGCTCTGTTATAGTTAAAGTGCTATTTGTATGTTTATAAACTATGATAGGATTATTAATATGTTGAATTAGTTTTATTTTTATATTTTATTTTATTTTAAGTTTTAGTTTTATTATGTGCCTTTGCCATTCTTATTATTTTTATTGAAATATTTCTTTAATATTTCTATATGACTATAATTTTATTTTATATTCAGACTATTTATATTTCACTTTATTTTAATTTAGCTTTATTTCAATTAACAAAAACTAATTTTTAAATATTTTTAGTTTTAACAAAAACATGTCCAGAGTAATTATAATTAACTTTATAAAGTCTACTGAGTTGTATATGTAAATACGATTTCACACATAAGTACAAATATGTGTGTGAAATCTGTGAATATATCACAGACTTGTGGAGAGCTAACAAGCTCCAGAGTGCCATTATTGTGATATTTTATAACAACGGCCTGTGAAGGGGACTTAGCCTTGCCTTCCATTAACATTAAATTTGATTAGAGCCAAAATATTGTTGTCAGCTAAACCCAGGGTCTATTTTGAAGCTTTTACTCTTAAAAAGCCTTGTGTTTAATAGCAAAAACTGACTACAAAATACTGAAGTGGACAGTAACATTGTTCACACTGCTGGCTGATTGTGAAGAATGATACACGTTCATTTGCCACGGGTGCCTGTAAATAGCCCAATTATGTTTTTCTCTTTTTAAAAGGGTTTGTGGAAATTTCCAGTCTCCCTGAGCATGTGGTGTGTTCGTTTCATTAAGTATGCATTTCAGCCAACTCCTATGTGGAAAAGTATGGTCAATCTGAAATGTGAAGATATATTACTCAACAAAAAATGTAAGACTACTGCACTCAGTGTTTTTCTAGCTAAATTCATTCTACTCAGATAACAATGTAATGCTAGCCATCCTAATTAACCTAAAGAAATCTCTATCAGAGATGTTTGCTGATGAATTAGGCCAAAGATGGTCTGATCTGCAGGTGGTTTCACCTTTTTGGCCTAATGGATGTTTATTTGATAACCATGCCTGTGTGTTTGTATGGGTCTGCTTATTATGCATGGCCTTTGAGCTAATTACTGGGAAGGTCTTGATTAAGCTTATAATAGGATTTCACAACAATCTTGATATTTCTGTCAGAGAACAAGAGCTCACAAGGTGGTCTCCCATACAATCACACTATGAGCTTCATCTGCACACATCACATTTACAAGTCTTATCACTAAAGTCCTTAGAGTAGCAATGGTTGAGTGCACCGTATTAGCATATAATATGCGAAAATAAGGAGCAAACAAACCGTGCTTAATCCGGTCCTGTGAGGACACATATTGTGTTACCTTAGAGATAAACACACTGAGTATGAAGCGCTTATGAAGGAGCATAAATCTATTGTTTAGGTGAAATGCATGATAAAAGACCAGTAGTTTCACCGATTTGCACCCTAAAGGCCTGTTCACACCAAGAATGATAACTATAGTGTCCACATCAGTGGGCAATAGCATTCTGTTTCATAGCATTCATAGCTTACCTGATCTATCTCAGCTGCTCAGTGAACCCAAACAAACTAGAGGAAATGACTAGCAGTTTGAGCACCATTTTCTCTAGTACATTAGAAATTGTTGCACCAATTAGATTAAAAAAGGTTGGAGAGAAAACTAAAGCACCACGGTACAACAGTGCTACGCATGTTATCAAGAGAGAAACTCGTAACTTAGAGCGTAAATGGAAAAATAGAATCGCGTGGAAAGACAGTATGTCACGTTATAAAAAGGCTCTAAAAGCAGCCAGGGCAGAGCATCTCCGCAAACTAATAGAAAATAACCAAAATAATCCAAGGTTTTTATTTAACACCGTGGCTAGACTAACAAATAAACAGACATCACCTGAGCAAAATATTCCGTTACAGTGTAGTAGTAATTATTTTATGAATTTCTTCACTGAGAAAATAGAAAGCATCAGAAACACAATTGTAAATGTACAATCTTTTATGGTATCTTATGATTCAGCCTCAAGTATCGCCCCTCAAGAACAACTACACCGCTTTACAACTATAGGACAGGAAGAGCTAAATAAACTTATCATTGCATCTAAACCAACAACATGTTAATTAGATCCAATACCCACTAAACTACTGAAAGAAGTGTTACCCGTACTAAGTGGAAGAGCCTCTTCTCAATATTATCGTTACAAGAATATTCAAGCTGGCAGTAATAAAACCTCTCATCAAGAAACCACAATTAGATCCAAATAACCTAGCAAATTACAGACCCATTTCAAATCCTCCATTTATGTCTAAAATAATAGAAAAAGTTGTGTCCGCTCAATTGTTTAGAGCAGAATAAGGTGGATAGATCATAAAATACTCTTGGATCGACTACAAAACTACACTGGTGTTCAGGGACAGGCATTAAGCTGGTTTAGATCGTACCTATCAGACCGTTACCATTTTGTCTGTTTAAATGGGGAAAAATCGAAGATAACGTCAGTAGACTATGGAGTGCCGCAGGGATCGGTGTTAGGCCCTCTGCTATTCTCAATATATATGCTGCCACTTGGTAATATTATAAGAAAACATGGAATTAATTTCCACTGTTATGCTGATGACACTCAATTATATATTTCATCACGACCAGATGAAAACACTAACTTATCTAAATTGACACAGTGTCTTAAAGATATAAATGCTGGATGACGTGTAATTTCCTGCTATTAAATTCAGATAAAACGGAGGTATTACTTATTGGTCCAAAAAACTACCCACAAAACCTCTTACAATACAACTTTAATTTAGAAGGATGTCCTGTTACTTTATCCACTACAGTAAAAGACCTGGGTGTTATATTAAACCGCAACTTGTCTTTCGAAAATCATATTTCATGTTACAAGAACAGCCTTTTTCCACCTTAGAAACATTGCTAAGCTACGTAATATGCTATCTGTTTCTGATGCAGAAAAGTTAGTTCATGCATTCATGACCTCGAGACTAGATTACTGTAATGCTTTATTAGCTGGTTGTCCTGCATCCTCAATAAACAAACTACATTTAGTGCAAAATGCAGCTGCTAGAGTTCTTACTAGGTCAAGAAAATATGATATGATGAAATATACTGATCATATAACACCAATTTTATCATCTCTACACTGGTTACCTATTAAGTTCCGTATCAATTACAAAGTATTACTACTGACCTATAAAGCCCTAAATGGTTTAGCTCCTGTGTATTTAATGGACCTTCTATCGCCCTAAAATCCATCGTGTTCTTTAAGATCACTAAATTCGAGGCTTCTGGTCATTCCTAGGATATCTAAGTCCACTAAAGGAGGGAGGGCGTTCTCACATTTAGCTCCTGAACTCTGGAATAGCCTTCCTGATATTGTCCGAGGCTCAGACTCGCTTACCTTTTATACTACTGTTGAATCAGATCAAATGCATTAATATTATGAACAGCAGCTATGCTAATTATTTCCCATCTGCTTTTCTGCTGTTATCGTTCTATAGCGTTCGTCAGCTCCAGTTTGTATCCAGCCTCTCTCACAGAGACTTCAGATGCCCCAACACCTGCGATGAGATGACTAAACGCCTGTGAAGAGACAACTCAACGCCGGCGATATGTTATGCCCTAAATTAATACATGATTAACTAACTGTATTTTTTTCTATGTACATTTCTGAAATGCACTTTCTGTAAAGCTGCTTTGAAACAATATGTATTATGAAAAGCGCTATACAAATAAATTTGAATTGAATTGCATTGTTTATTTCAGCACACTGCAGTTTTGGTGTCTGCCGCTTTAAATGCTCGAGCTCTTTAAAGCAGGATGGATTCTGATTGGCTGTCAATGTTTTTATCAATCATCAGCTGGAAAAAATCATTCTGAAAGTGAGGCGTTATTGCTATAGTTGTGGTATTTACTCTGCTGTTCTTTTATATTTAGAATGATTTTTAAACCTTTATTGCGATATTAAGGCAACATCTACATTAATCCGAAATACATTTGAAAATGGTGTTTTCATTTCAAAACGCTCTCCGTACACAATAATTTTCAAGCGTTTCCTAAAAGTTTGAATTCTAGTTTTGTATTCCACACTGAAATGTCAAAAAATGCTAAAATCATCTTACTGTACATGAATAAATACATCTAGGTTTTGCTGCAGGATATAAATTACGAATACATCTGTCAACTTTGCGAGAATGTATTTTGAAGCAACATTGTGAAAGTGAACAGCACATAGCAGAAATATACTGGTATAAACATAGTTATCAATCGGTACATGCGTCACATGACTAGACGTCATTGTTTTCAAATACTTCTGTTTTCACAGTCCACACTAGAATGCTAAATTTATCCAGTTGGGAGAGCGTCTTAAAAAGCTCAAAAACACAGTCTCAGTGAGAACAGAAGGCCAAAATATAAAGAAAAGGATGCGTTTTCAAATGGATTAGTGTAGACGTAGCCTAAGTAATTCACTTTGCTCCCATCGGGCAGGGTCTGTATGTGCATGGGGGCACAAGGAGTTCAGGAGGCAGTCGCCTGCCGCTGTCTAATTAGTGTGGAGACAGAAGGGTCAGCCACAGGGCACTGCCCAGCTGGGAGCTGTATGGTCCCTGCCACCCTCCCCCGACTCCATACACATGCAGAAAGTAATTTACATAGGGCTCACTTCCTTCACACTTCCTTAAGCCATCAGCCATGGGACCACATGGATGGTCACCGATGATGCTGCTTCTGTAACGTCCAGAATTATTTTTCTTGGTTCTTTAAATCATCGTTTAGGGTTTGGTTAACGGGCGATGATGTAACTTTTTCAGAATATTTCCAGTGTTGAATTACCATGCAGCAAGGACTTGCTGACCTCTTGGACGCCATAATAGCGGCCTGCTTTCTGGAAAATTACAACCCCCACTTAGAGGCAAGGGTGGTCAAGTTAAATCCTAGCCTGTGCATTTATGATTCATGCCTTTTTAGCATTCCTTAAGAATGGGCTAACTGTGAAGATTGCCACTGCAGGTGTCTTTTCCAGAGTCTTCACACCTTGACAATGGCTAACAACGGGGTGTTGACAAGCACGGTGGCTTCCTTTAGCATACTGCTGCAAAGCTGCTTCTTTCAAAGACCTTTGCCCTGTGATGATGTAAAAGGTGACTTGTGTCAGCGAGCTTTCAGGGATCTGAGGTCTTTGAGCTGTTTGTCGTGTGAGGTTTGCGCTGTGACTTTTACAATGGGTTTTTATTTAGCCCCATACACACAAGCTTGTCTGGGGGGAAATGCGTTAAAAATCAAAGCCTTGGGTGTAACGCCACCAAGCATTGGGGCCCCTGTCACTGTGGTTACAGAAGTTATTAAGCTCTGTTTATTACAGTTGGGCCACTGGGTCTATTTATAATGCAATGTCTTGTGTGGGTGAGGCAGCTGAGACATTTCTTCCCAGCTCTTGACTTTCAGCACACATCACTCTTATTTGCAGTCTTACTGCTGAGACACAAAAACATTAGCCTACACTACTGCCAATGTGAGATATTTAATAAAGCCATTAAATACTGCAGATAGAGCTCGTAACACAGCAAAAAATTCATAAGAAAGGTCAGACGTCTAATCTTTCAAGCATTTAGCCAAGGTCAAAGTTGCTGGCACCATGAATTTCTTGGGTCACTGGCCTCTGTAGAGGGGTTTCCACACAGACCAGTGTAATAATTTGAACACGAGAGCTGTCAAAGTTTGAAAGAAGGCTGTTTTCCCCCAAAATAGCTGTTTGTTAGTTGACCCAGTTTGTTGTACAAGTTGAACCAGACATTGGGATCCAGCTCTACATTTCGATTGGTCTGTTGACCATAGGGGTCATGACCTATGCACTGTTAAGACAATGGGTTTATGAAGAGGACATTATAATGTCTCTGGGGAGAGGAGTAGCCCGAGTGCTACTTTGCGAAACAAAAAAAAAAACTCATCCACTATGCTAGTGATATAGCTTACCATGATAACCACAGTTACTTACTTAAACAGCATACTTAAACATAGTTTCTACAGTTATGATTATTACAATAAAGCTACACTGTACAATTGTTTTCATCATTGTTGAAACTACTTTGTTTCCATTACTTAATTTTTAAATTGATATTCTTCATCAGTATAATTACATTCAGGGAAGTGCAACGTACTTGCATCATTAAGATTTAACTTTTTATTTTATTTGACTTATTTATAGGCCGATATGCATATAAATGACAAAAAGATTTCTTAAAAGTAACATCATTAAATATAAATGGCTAAATAATGTGTTTATATTGATAGTAATTGTTTTAATAATAATTTTATGTTTCATATGCCAAATACCGCTATGTATAGTGATTAAACTTTAAAATGATCAGTCATACTGTCAGAAAGAGAAAGAAAGAGTCAGACCACCTGGTATTGAAACTATGGGCTTTCTACTAACATTGGCACTATTTATAAAAAGTGTTAAATAGAAATATGACGCAAATACAGCAATATGACCAAGAGTAATGATACATCATGTTTACCTTTTTAGCTCCACTCACGGCGAACTCCTTAGCCAGGTGACGGCCAATGCCCCGTCCGCCACCCGTGATAAGCACCACATCTCCGGTCAGATCTCTCCGCCTGCTCGGTAAGACCCAGCACACAGTCGCCTTGACAATATAGTAGAGTATCTGAATAGGTAAGAGCACCACGCAGCCCAGCGCTTTCAGATCCATTTCACTCCGTCTCAGTATCCGCTTATCTCAGTTCTCGCATGGAACAATTGCTGAACTAATTGAATCCTTGCTCGGAGCGATTACCTTTACTCCTATTTATATGACTGGATAAAGCAATTTGCCTTATTTTGCAGCGCTGACGCACACTAAATAGATTGCAATGCATCTATCTACCACAATCCAACTCAGTTTATGTGTGCCTCGGCGGAATATCTGGCATTTTTCGCACCTTTATTCCACATAAACTCTTTATCCACGGAGCTGTTTTCTTGCTGCGACAAGTGTGCGCTGCTGCTTTGAACCGGAGACGGAGCCCTGTCGCGACTGACAGCGGCCAGGACCTAACAATGACGATACCTCAGGTCTGATAGGGGTTTTAAAGAGACCATTTATCTTGATTGACAACTGGAGGACTGAGAGAAGTATTATCAAACGTTGGCGACGTAAGGGTTCGTTTCTTTATGACGTTAAGTCCCCTCCCCCAGAAGTGGTACCACAGGCATAATTTCGTTGCCTCTTAACCTGTGCTTATTGTTACTAGTCGTGGGGATTTTGATTCATATGATTCCAGTGATTCAGACCTTTTAATCGGTTCACTAAAATGACATTTATCATTCACTTTATTTAATTAGATTCGACTCCTACGAAATAAATAAATAAATAAAACAACGAAACGTGTCTTTTTCTAATACTTTTGCGTGAAGGCCTACTTCTGCTCTTTCCGGGAAAAGAAAGCCAGTAGGCTATTTTATCAGTTACTGGGCATGACTTTAATCATTCGATAAAGAATAAATAATTAACTTGCGTCATTTTAATTATGTCAGAATTTATATTCTCTTCTTCTTTCGACGTAAACTTAGCGAACTGGACGAACCGTTCAATCGGTCAGCAGATATACACGAACGAAATGATCTTGTTCGGTTCTTCTACGATTCAGACATGAAAGATTCATTTAAAACAAATCGAAACGCTATAATTGATGCTCTTTCTTATCGTTTTGTATTGTTATACTGGCATGTGATTGCAATCACTGGGTTGCCTTTTTCAGTTTAACAGCCTAGTTTTTAAAGTGCTTTATTCTCTTGTGATAGAATTTGACACTTTTTCAATTCAAAACGTTGCCAGCTAACACAAGTGTCAACACGACAGAGGACTTGTTGAACTGTCTAGGAAAAAAATAACCAGTTTGTCAAGACATGTTTGTATGAACAAAAATATATTTAAGTAGGCTATTAGCCTGGCCTGCTATAGGCCTACATGATTTATAAACGCGATGCATTTCTTACCTTAACCGCATGGTGGTAAACAATGGGCGTGCCTACGGATATAGTTGTAATATAAAAAAAAGGTAAACATTGGTCCTAAAACTAAATCTAGGCATCATTGTTGTTGTTGTTTTGGAAGCTTAATATTCCTGTAATTTATTTTTATCTTAGTTATTATATTTAGTATTTTTTTTATGGCTTTGATAGTGTCAACTTCAAGCTAACTTTATTGTAGCTAATAATGATGACTGTTTTTTGGTTGCCATACTGTATGGGTTATGAGAGAAATTAAACTGTTGGTAACGTTTGTAAAGGTTGGATTGTAAAATAAATATGATTTCCCTATTTTTTCTTTCTCAATTCAAACCCCTAGGGTTGCAAAGTCCACAACTTTTTCAGTGTGGTGTGTGTATGTGAACAGGTGTTTGGTACTGTTTGCCCTAAATGTTGTTACACTTGGGTCTCCTGTTGCTGGTTTCAGTCCACAGTGCTTAAACTGGAAGGATTCCTGCAGACCAGTGCACCTCCAGAACATCGAGACCTTTGTAAACGGCTCTTAAATTCACGCAGTAAACCCAGGAGCCGTTGTGGAGATTCCAGACTGTGATTTTTGGCCTGGCCTCTGCTTCTACTGCTTAAAAGCTGAATAGAGGGCTGCTCAGACCGGACTGGTTGAAATGCACCCTCACAAAGACTGCTTTGTGCTATGATGTGCCTCTTAGTAATGGCCCAGCAACTCTCAGAGAAGGCTTAATGGTTGTCTGATGGGGGGAAAAAGCATGTTCCACTTAAATTGGTCCATTTCTGGATCTGTTGATCAAACACAGGCCAAAATCACAGATGCTGATTTGATTTACTGTATCGCAGAATACTGTAAAACTATTATCCTCTGTTTTTATTTGATTATGAGGCTTTATTTAATCTTCCACATTTTGTTGTGGAAATATAACGATGCTCAACACAATGGCTTTTTCTTTTCAGTTAGAGTGTCACTGCCATCTACAGATCAATAGTGAAAGTTCACTAAATAAATCAAATTTATTCTCAGTGGGAGCCATAGTACATTGCCTGTCAAGGAAAATAGTTTTTATCATTAATGTTTATTTGCATAGTAATAGGATTAAATTAACTAAGTTAATTTCCAATTGGTGAATATGCAGTGTTTTGTCTTCTCTAAATCCACGCCACCATCAATTATCTCTATGTAAACAATCAGCCAGCATATTTTCTCGTTCGTTTTTCTGATATTACTAATTAGCTAATGTGTTATCAGTTGGAACTGTTGGGATAATGCTTTGTCACTAAACACTATTTTTGCAATCTCACTGTATTATAATCATAACCACCTTTATCCTGCCACAAAAAGTCCATACAAATCTAATTTGTGCAAAACTGTCTCAAACTTCTGGAAAAAAATCAACACTTGACCCATCCCAGTTCGTGTGAAACCTGTAGACTTGGCAACCTTGGCTCTCCTTCACTTTATATCTGCAATAAAAGTGGGAGGGAACATGCATTTTGAACATTTATTGATTTGTTTGCAGCATATTCAAACAGCCATGTTCACTGCAACTGCAATTCTGATCATTGTGTTTACAGCTCTTTTTGCTGCTTTTTGTTTGTTGGTAGTTGTCCTAGTATACTTTGAGCTGAGAAATTCAAATATTCCTCCTGGAGTTGCTAATTCTGGGAAACTACATGCGATTCATTGTGTGTATGTTGGGATAAAGTGTTGTGTTGCATTCGCTGACAAATCTAATCGTATTGACCCATTTCTTGTTAAATTCTTAATTCCTTCTAAATACGATTGTATGTTATGTAGGATATACTCTGATTCTGGTTTTTATTCTGAATATTTTAGCTCAAAGCCTTTTTTAGTCATATTAAAGTGCTCAATACAAAGTCCATCTCAGTTATTTAATAACTCTTCAGTAATGTCTGATGTATTAAAACTGGGCAAAGCAAGTTCAATATGATGTTTTTCTGTAATCACAAACTTGATATTCTCTCAAGGGCAAAATAGAGCCATTCTGCTTATCTCAGAACATGTTTACCTCATTCAAAAGGCCAAGTTGACTTCTTTACCCCCTAAGTGGCTCATTTAATGACGTGGATATTATGAATTGGCCAATTATTGTCAACAATTCTCTTTTGCAGGGCCAAATTCTGGAGCGATTGGGGCTGTGTCATCAGATGAATTTTACACGATGGTGCAGATTTTTTATCATGGCCAGAAAAGGGCCAGTGCCCCAAGGGCTTCGTATTAAGGACTTGACCTTCAGTGGAGTTCCAGTGAGGGTGTATGAGCCTACAGCTGCCTCGGGAGAGAAAAAAAGGGGCCTGGTTTACTTTCATGGTGGCGGATGGATGTTTGGCTGTATTGGTAAAACTCTATTTGCATGCATAGACAGTAAAAGTGATGATGTTTTAAGTACTGATGTTTTAATAGTTTGTCCTTCCACAGATGATTACGATGAAGTGTGTCAGTATATATCATTGGAGAGTGACACCACAGTTGTGTCTGTTGGGTTAGCTGACTTGACATACTCAGTTTTATTTATAAATTCTGTCTGGTTGAATTTCATAATCTTATTCTGTCGTTTTTTTCTTCTCTGTTTCCCATATTTAGTTACCGTCTGGCCCCCGAGCACAGGTACCCTGCCCACTTGGACGACTGTGAGGTCGTGACTCGCCACTTCCTGTCAATAGCGGCAACCGATTTCGGGGTGGACCCACGCAGGGTGGCAGTTGGTGGGGACAGTGCTGGTGGGAACCTGGCAGCCGCTCTCTGCCAGAGGCTGTCGAAAACACAGGATGGTCATCTGCCATCTCCCTGTGCCCAGGTTCTCATCTACCCGGCTCTGCAGATGGCTGATTTCCACCTGCCCTCATACCAGCAGAACCACTCAGTGCCCATATTGTTCAGAGGCCGAACGGTGTTCTTTTTCCTGCAGTACCTCAACGGGAATACTCCTGTGAGCCAGCAGATTCTGGAAGGCAAGCATGTTCCTGCCGAGCTAAAACGTCACTATAAGAAATGGCTGGATCCAGATAATCTTCCACCACAGTTTAGAAAGGGAGCTATAAGTCCGCCAGTTATCGCAAGCCACGATGCTGACGTCTATCACATCGTCAAACAGGGCCTAGATCCAGAGATCTCCCCTTTACTAGCCGAGGACGATGTTCTTCGCCTCAATCCGCCCACCTTCGTCCTGACCTGTGAGTTTGATGTGCTGAGAGACGATGGCATTCTGTTCCAGAAGCGACTGAAGGATGTAGGAGTGGATGTCAAGTGGGAGCATCTATCTGACGGCTTCCATGGGATCATCGGCTTCTTCAACCAAGGCTGGTTGACATTTGAATCCTCTCAAAGGGGTATGGACAGCATTGTAAGATATGTAAAGACTCTCTGACTGGGATGTCAAAAGATTTGTCAGAATGATTTATAATATGGCCTGTTAAAAAAATATCATGATAAATGAATGAGCAAAAATACACTTTAACAATAGAACTCACCAGTCAGGTTCTGGAATTGAACAGTCTGGTTCATTTGATTGTAGTTCTCTTCTTTTCATCATTAAATCCATTAATTACACAATCTTACCTTTGTCTTGTATACTTTTTTCTTCATATCAAAGTTTGTTATGTGATTCATCTCATAGCTGGTTGGTTTGTTTCATTCGTTTTTTTTTAAAATCCCTATGGGAACAATGAATAGGAAAAATACTTAACAATGGCCGCTGATAAAGTGTTGCACTCTATACCAATTTTCTCCTTGAAAGATTCATTGTCATCCAGCAATATTCTGTGACTAAACCTAGTAAGAAAAAGCAGTCACATTAGATTTATCAAAGAATTTTGTATTTGATTTGCAATGTTTTTGATTGACGTAAGTGTTAAACTGCTTTTGTTATGTACAAACAATGCTCAATTTGTCCATTGAATCATGAATGATATTTCAGTATGTGACACACTTAACATTCCTCCCACATCGCATGTCCCTTGTACAGCCTCATTTGTATGAGACTGCAGTCTCATTTGGTGCTACAAGTGAAGCTAATTATCATCAATCAGAGTGTTAGTCAGCATTTGCGTGGTGTGTTTAAAGGAATCTGATGAAACTTCTTTTGCAGCAGCTGCTCCCATAGTGGCAGCAGTAGTGTTTGCTGTGTCCATGGCAACGGAACTCTAGAATGTCACCTGCTTTGACGATGTCATGAAGGAAGCCTGCATCATAACTGACCATCTAACCAGGTTGGAGGTTTGCAGAGTGTGAGGTAGTGTTTCATTTGAAGTAACTAAGGCATGCAAAAAATGGAAAACTCTCATGACAAGTGGAGCCAGCCTGGTTGGAGAATAGAGCAGAAGTATAGCAACAAAGTACTCATTGGTAATTGGGTGGAGGAGAAATTACAAGTAGGTATATTTTTATAACATTATTGTGTTGTGTGGGTATTCTTAACTGATGCCCAATATCTTTATGCACTAGTATGCATTACTTTTACTATTTCTGCCATAATTTATAGTCTAACTATTATGCTATTCTGAATTTAGTTATTTGAATTAAGTTTCATCTCGATACACCAAGGCACATGCAAATTAAAATTCAAAATGCCTGACGGACAGTATATCTGATCCAGGAACATTGTTTAGGGGTTCTTGACCAAAGGCCCAACTATTTTAAAGTCGACATTAAACGGAAGTTGCGATAATATTTTCTTCCATATTGTGACTTGTTTCTGAGAAAAACAGCTTTGTGAATGAGAAATTGTGTACGGCAGTAAGTTACTTGATTTTGTCCATCATGAATATTGTGTGGATCTTTTGTTAATTGCTGTGATCTAATGCTCTAAACACTGGTGACTTTAAAAGTCTGCAATGATATCTTACCAAGAGTCACTTTAAAAACCCAAAGAGCTGCAAATATCGAACATAACTTCCTATTGAGAGACTACAGTACATCATCAAATATTTGCAATGTAAATGATTTAGGGGCCATTTACACAACACCGCCTTTGACCAAAAAGGGAAACTTTTTATGTGTTTTGGTCGTTCATTTACACGACAATGGTGTTTTGGGGGCCTGAAAACACAAACTTTTAAAAATAGGATCCAAGATTCAAGTTTTTAAAAAAATATCTCACCTCAGTGTAAAATACAAAAACATGAATTTGAACAAAAACATACTCATGCGTATTACATGTTCAGTCTACTGGCCAAAACGCAGGCGTAATCACGTGTTTAATTTGACCGCGTCAACACGCACTGTTTGTCCGCGTTAGACACAGCACAAGTGTCATTATTGCCGCTAGATGAACCTAAAAAGACCGTAAGACAACTGAAAAGGGCATGACAAATCATCACATAAGGCTGACATCACACACTACGTACCAATGCATTATCCCTCGTGAACAATTACAACGTCTAATGTTTGCATACGTGGAGACCAGTATACCATTACGACATCCTTCATTAATAAACATGACTTCTGATGTTTGTATACGTATATACCAATGAGAGACATACGTACCAGCGCGTCACATATGCAAATATAGTCTCAAATATAGCAATTTCATTGGCTACTGTGCTTTTTGCCGCGTTAACGCGAACAACAAACAGTGCGTGTTGATGCGGTCAAATTTCACGCGTTTCGTTTAAAGACTATTGGCCCCGATCGCGTTCCATAGTTTCACACGTTTTGGTCCTATTGGCCTTCCATATGCGTCTTTAGTCGTTTTCATGGATCCGTGTGAACCAAGGGGGTAATCCATCGACCGGAAGTTGAAGCCGGCCGGGTGCTGCCATCTTGTAGCAGAACTTCACTTGCGTTAGCATTTCCATTGACTCCCATTCATTTTGGCGTCACTTTGACAGCGAATAACTTTACATCTGAGACGTTTAAAGACTCCATTTGTCCATTATTTATTTCTAAAGAAACACGACAATGTATACAGAGCTCCATTACCTTCTATGTTACATTATGGCCCCGTAGAAACAGTTATTGTAAAAATAGGCTAATGATTGCGTCATAACCACTCGACTCTCGGTCGCGCTGTACAGAAATTACCGTACAGACAGGAGGAGAAGCTCGCAGGCAATCGGGGGGACGTCCCGTCAAGGGAGAAGCCCATAGATAATGAGTCCATAAAAGCAACGGAATACTTACTCCTGCTCACTCACGCCAAAGAACTCTTTGCTCAAGTTCACCGTCTCTGCAAGATTAACGTTGGCAATTTTCACGCACAGCTACTAGAAGATTAACGTCTGTCAGACAGGTTGCTCACGTCATCAAGCTTAGTTTGAGTCGGTTTGAGTCTGCGCGTCAGGAACGGAAGTTTCTTTAAAAATCGCTAAAAATGGGCTTCAACTGTCTCAACTGAGTTCCAATGAGATGGCTCTGTCCATTTCTTATACTGTCTATGGTGTGAACGGGGATCGGTTTGAAAGTGAAAAGTACATCGTTTAGTACATCGTTGTCGTGTAAACGTACCCTTAGTGAGGATCTCATGAAAACTGTTGACCGAGTTAAAAAAATAACATAGTTGGTTTGAAATTGAAACCAATAATTTAGTTAGGCAATTCAAATCCAACATTCTTTCTTTAATTAAAAGTTGTCGATTTATTTTAATATTACATAAAACATATTTATAACATATACTGTTGATTATTTAGAGACAATTTCTAATCACTCGCGTTTCGAGTAGTTAACACACTACTTAAGCACTTGTCAGACTGCAATGTTTAAACCTTGAAAGGGATGCAGTTCCTCAGACAGTGCTCAGATCTATGCAAAAGTGATTAGCGCCGCTGATCAGCTTGGTCAGCACAGACTGGAAGCAGACAAATGGGATTGATGAAAGTCGTGCTGCAGTCCCCTAGTCAGGAACAGACCTGAGAGAGCACATCTGCGATCAATAAGGGGCCGTGAGCTCTGCTGAGCGTGGGATTTGTTTACTGAGTGTTTCAGTGTGTATGTGTGTGTGTGTGTGAGACAGTTCGCTCGAGAGTGCAAGACAGCAAACAGCACCAACAGGCTGGACTACACGCCCCACATGTTGCACAGGCCCGATGTTGCCATGCGGCGAAAGGCTCTTCACAGATCTGAGGTTTGGGACAAATCCATCAGTTCATGCATCATTTACCAAACATCACAAACACACCAGTGGGTAAATCATGTTCGGTTTTGATGACAGACGGCAGGCATACATAGATGTGGAACTCCAAAATATCAGTCCACTGCATATTGGAGCTCTGAACTATCACTGTAAAACCCTGAATAATAATTGTGATTCTGAATAATAATTTTGATAATGAAGTCACTTGAAGAGATTACATAACCATAAAGAATGATTTCACTTTTAAACTAAGTTGCAAAAACAATAGTGGTGGAGTGAGACACTTCTTTGCATGCTAATGCAAATTTCACTTTGAATATGACTAAATATTAAACATGCTATACATATTTTAACCATTGTAGTTAGATGTACGTTGTAAATGATTCGTCCTGTCCTTCACTGGGTCTTATAAACCGTGTCCATGGGTTTAATCCATGCTTTAGGGTGTTCCCACAAGGCTGTTACTTTCTCATCATGACGTCCCCTCCTCCCACTACCTGGTGTCACTCTATGATGAGTCGTACGGGCGGCAGGCCTCCTCCTCTCTGCCCACACTGCGCTCCTGGCATTCTGACAAACTGGCCTGGGTCCCGGAGAGGTCAGACCATCCAGTCCAAGGTATTAAGCATTCCTTTCACTCCAGATGGGGTTTAATGCAGTTCGGCCAGCGTTTTGAATTAATGTTGGAGACCATCTCTGTAAACCATTGTGAATATCAGTTATTTTAATACGCTGGCTTTTATTATTAGTCCAATGTCTTTTTTTTTTTTTTTTTTGAGCACAGAGAGAAAATAACAGTGTCAAATGTGCATGAGAAAATTATGTCTGATATCTTTCAATGGGTGATTTAAATCAATAGTTTAAATAAAAAATAAAAATTCAGTCATCATTTACTTACTCTCGTCTCATGTTGTTTCAAACCTGTATGACTTAATTTCTTATAAGGAGATTTGTAGCGATAGCTATTTCTACTAATGAGACTTTCGAGCTTGAAGTGATTTCCTGTTTTTTTAAGTAGGCCTAGTGGGGGATGAAGAACAGAAATCAAGTAGGCTACTTGAGTAAAAGTACAGATACCCTAATGAAATATTACTTCAGTAAAAATACAAGTACTCATTTTCAGTTTTACTTGAGTAAAAGTACAAAAGTACTTGCTTTAGAATGTACTTAAGTATTAAAACCAAGTACTGATCAATGAACCGTGTTTTAATGTATTCTAGCCAGCACTAGTCAGTAGTCTGCACTAATAAGAAAGATTAATGCAGACATGTAATTGGCCTACGTAGGCTATTGATTGCAAATAATCAAACTTTTTTTTTATTACCAAAACTTATGATACAATATTAAAACATTAAACTTCAATATACTAAAATATCAATTTAAGTTATAATTCAACTGCACAAATGTGCAGTCATGATTTAAATTTGAGTTCATTTACAACAATCAATACTAAATAACTTACATTTCGCGCCATCAGTTGTATGATCTGATATCCCGGTTCTTGGCTCATTTTGACTGGATTATTGAATCAGTGAGTTGTTGACTCAAGAACAGCTGCAATTAGATCAGTCAGATTTACAAATGAATTGTTCAGTGTAATTTGTAATTAAAAAAATCGGTAGTTTAAGTTATTGATAATAACCCTTCAACATTGCTCTTTTATTGAGTCATTTCTACTTGGTGACGCTAGTGGCACTGAAACGACATGTTTTTTATTTTATTTCTGCCTCCCTCTGTTTCTTACACACAGGCCCTCCAACTAAGTTTGGCTTGGCGGAATCTTGGCGGGCTCACATGCAACAACAGCGGGCAGTTGTGCCCACACTAAGCGTGTATAAGGCTTCATACCCTCTGCACCCCATCAGCACCTTCTGTCATTCTCGCCACGTCAGCATGCCCAAGCGGCTCTCCAGCAGTCAACACCCTGCCAACCACAGCAACAGGGACCTGGCACTGAAACACAGACCCTGCAGGCAGGTCTCCAGTAATCCAGCCCGCCTGCTGTGACCCTTACCCTTTGTCTCTCACCATCTTCAGCCCTCCAGTTCCACACAGACTGGACTCAACCAGGAGAGGGCTTAGACTACCTTATTTTATTGATCAGTGACTCTTAAAAACAGAATTAATAGGAGCATTTTGGTGTTTTTGAACCAAGACAAATAAAAGAGATACAATACTGCAATGTGGTCCAAACGTTACAATTCAAATACGTTTAGAATTTAAGTGAAAGTGACATCTGAAGGCCAAGTATGGTATACTAGGAATTTATCCTTTGCATTTTACCAATTTGCTGTGGCACCCGGGGAGCGATGGGGGGTTAGGTGCCTTGCTCAAGGGCACCTCAGTCATTCCCTGCAACTATTGAGAATCGAACCCACAACCTTCGGGTTACCAGACTTTCTAACCATTAGGCCATGACTTCCCCATTTAATGCATTAGTTTTATATTACATTATATTTTCTGCATGTCAATTAAAGTGAAAAGCTGAACAGAAACATTAACATGAATTTCCAAGTGTCTTAGTATTTGCTTTGTCCCATTTGTATATTTGAATGACAGCAGCAAGTTAGTGTAAGACCTGATGATCCTGTTTTCCAGCATGATTTGAGATTGATCTAAATAGCATCTTGTGCCTCTGTGGAAGAAAGAACATCTGAGTTTACATGGTCTCAAACTTGATAGACTGTTCTTTCTCTGCTTACTTTCTCTGTTGGTGTGTATTTGCAGGTCTATTTTTATGCACACTAGCACAATTCACTGTGCACGTGAGAGAAAAACAGCTTTTGTCATGTTAACAAAAACACTGCAAAAATGTTTTTTCACAGTACACGACCTGCTCCATTATCATGTGCACGCAGAATCAACAGTTCATTTGGACCACAGCGCTAGTTTAGATAGTCGAGTCATTTATCGACACTCTAAGGGGACTTTCATAACTCCTATCTCATTAAGTGTTTAATTATGTTGAATCAAAGTGTTTAATTACACGGAATCGGATGCTATATTTGACGTCCAACCATCTGTGTTCACACTTCTCCTGCTGTGTAGGTTTTATCCCACTGTGTTCTTCTGCTAGCCTTTGGAACGTTCCAACTATGTGTCTTTTTGTGTTTGTCACTGACTTTTTTTGTGGCATATTAGTTCTGTTGAGATTCCATCAGACCTTGAAATCTCCCCCACATGATGGTGCTAGAGTTACACATAGAGAGCAAGGATACATCACAGGGAATTGCATCACAGCACACTCTCCTCTGCATGCCACCTTCTTTGATCACATATGCATACTCGATTGTCACGGTGATTGTATTGTATACCCTCATTAACATAAACTGAATATGTGATTGCTTTGTTTTTGACAGCATAATTGCATTTAAATTTAATTAAGATCCTGGTCACACAAACACCTCCTGCTGCACATTTTGTCAGAACTCATTACTTATTGAAGTCTAACACAAGAACCAATACTTATTTTAGATGAAATCATTTTATTCCTAGTTCTTCAGAAGATACAGAAATGTGCTTGAAGAGGCAAAGCATTAGGTTCTTCTTTCCTTCACCATTAAGTCATTAGTTCTCCCTATAATGTTTAGTGGTATACGCACAAAAAAAGATAAGCTTTTCCTCTGGACTGTCCAAAGTGTTTCTGTGATTTGCAAAGAACCATAGATCCCATTCTCGTGACTACAAGAATTGTGGAAATGTCATGAAAAAATACAGTAAAACTAAATGTAATACAACCAATAATTTGCATTACATCTTATCTAAAAAAATATGCTGGTATCATGTAAGATTAACCATTGCATATCCGTGTGAAATGCAGAGAAAACAACTGTGAATATGTCAAAAAAGAAAATAGAAAGAAAAAGAAAAAGCTATGCATATAATTATCCAGCTTACATAAATTGTAGTAATGGCAGCCATTCATGTTGTTTATGATGCCATCTCCGCATTTGCAGTTCGGCTTTATTCTACACACAGTATTGATTGTTTAAAATTAGCCACAGTGTTTCAAAAGCGGTATATTTACTGAAACATTTTAAGCACTTGCACAGGACATTTCCAGGATTTAAAGGTTGATTTAGACATGAGGCCCAAAACAAACAAATAGCCTTTACTGCGACAGCAGATTTATTTATCAGTAAGTGCTGTGTAATTCTAGCTGAACAATAATTCAATGTAATAGCCTTGATATTTCATCTCAATTGCCACTAATAAGTACATTCCTCTAACATGTGCATAATATGATCCTGAGTGTTTGCTCTTACCAGACAACTTCCGACTCGAAAGGTCTGACCTTATTTAAACACGAGTTTGTTGAGTGGTCCTGTCGGGCAGCACAAGGATGATTGGAAACAAAATGCCTTTAGCCGGAGATAGCACTTTCAAATCCTGTGCAACAAAGCTAGGAGATACCTCATCTGCAAGAAACCTCAAGGTAAATTGACGGCTCACGCAGTAGATAATGTTGTCCATAGTCACACATTGAAAGGCAGTGCAATGGGGGAGACGTATCGAGGAGCATTCGTACCACAGTCGGGCCACCGCGTGGAAACGATACACACTGATGCCCAGAGGACTGACGTCGAAACGGTACAAGAAGTTTCTCACAGCCACAATTTCTGCGGTCTTGTCCCTACTACCCACAATCATGCTCTCTCGCCATGTGTTGGTTTTGGGATTGTAGCGCAAGAGGGTGTACCTCAATGTGCCCCCTGCAACAAACAGTTCATCATTGCAAGCTGTGGCCCGGTGAGCTACGGCAAACGTCTCATTAGGAAGGGGTGCAACAAAGGTCCATCGGTTTGTCCTGGGGTCGTATCGCTCAACTGTTGATAGGCATTCCCCTCCAATGGCATAAAGTTGGCCCTGCAGAGCCACGAGTTTGCAGTGAGGCCTTGCCTCATTCATGGGGCTTATTTCACTCCAAATTGAAGTCATTGGATTGTAACAGTACACTTTCTTTGAAGGGGTCGCTTCACGGCCCAGGCCTTGGAAACCCACAGCGATAAACAGATAATTATCCATGGTGCACATGGCACAACCTTTAGATAACACCTCCTGGGGAATGTGGGAATGAAGATGCCATGCGTCCTTATAATCATCGTAGTAATACATACCGCTGGATGTCTTAACTGATTCAGACTCTAAATCTGTAGACTGTGACAGACATTTACTCCAGTCCGGGGACTCCATATCTGCAACCACTAACCACTTCCTTCCTCTCATGCGTTGTGTTTGGATGTGATCACGCTCCCCTGCTTTCAGCCTGCCAAAGAGGCCTGGGTCTCTGAGGACCTGGAGGTAATTATCAGACATGACACGGAGAGCAGCTTGCTGAAGGGCAATGTGACCGTGTTTTTTAGCAAGTGTTAAAGTCTCCAAGCAGTTGCCTAAATCAAGCTTTCCTGCTAGACTCTCGAGTTCTGCATTCCCCATGTTCTCTGGAAAGTGTAAGAATTTTGCTCCGGCGACAGTTTCGACTTGTGGTTCCTCTGGCGCATCCAGGTTTGCTATATCAGAGTCTAACAGGCTTGAAGGGATGTCACTGGGTTGTGCTGGAGAACAGCTGCGAGGTGTTAAAGCCCTCTTTGTGGGTAAGGGGATTGGAAGCTCTGAGTCAACGGCAGCAGTAAGATAGCTGTCTTGGCGGATGACTACTTGCCTGCGGTACCTCACAGTCTCCGGTTTGAAAGTTGAGGTTGGCTCGTTAGTAAAACGTGGAGTAATTTCAAGATCTCTCATTATGAATCTAGAAGGTTGTGGACTTGGTGATCGGGAACGGTCCTTGAAATTGGGGGAGTCCAATGATTGTGATTTAAACAAAGTGCTGGTTTCATTTTGACAATAGACTGGACTGACAGACCGGGTGCGGCTTAAATCTGAGATGAAATGAGAAGAGGACTCTATGTAGTACTCATATATCTTTCCATGGATGCCTGTTCTACAAGTCCCTTGCCCATCCAAGATAAGGTCAGCATTCTCTACTTTGATTTCTGCTTTTGACTGAAAACTCGAGAACATACCCTGGTGATCAAGGTCCTGCCTCAACTCCCTGCCAACACCCGTACCAGCTTCCAGCTTCTTGACCAGGCACGGGGATCGCCGACCACTTGGACTTTCAGGACCTTTTTCGTTTCGATCAGGAAGTTGTAAAGTTAACCTCGGTTTGACATTCTTTGCCTCAATTATAGCCTCAGTTGTGTTGCTTGTACCTGAAGGTTCCTCCTTTGCCCAATTGTGTATGATTTCAGGGTGAGCCCTTTCCAATGCAACATCTTTAAGGGTTTCTTGCAAGGTTTTCTCTGGAGATGGTTGAAAATGATTTTCCCTGTCAGACACCTTTGCCGATTCACTCTGTGGTTCTTGCCCAGTATTGCAGGCGCTGTAGCTTCCTCGGGTAGCTTGCGCACCCTTTTGTTGAATTCTTTCACTTCCCTGACGTCTGTTTCGTGCCCTGGAATTGTAGAATCTAAAAATTAAGGAAACAATTAGCATGGTGGCCACAGACAGAGTCAGTTTGCCCAGGAGCTGCATGTCAAAGTGCACTCCGAGCAATTCTGCAATTTGCATCTCTGTAGTGAAATCTATGGTGGTCCGCTGGACATTGAATTTTATTTGAAGCCTCTTCCCAAGCGTATCCCAGCCAGTTTAGGTTGTAGTTTAGTATCTGCAAGCAGAAGCACACTGTCAGCTTCTCTCCTCCCTCAGGGTGACTAAAAACCTGATATGTACAACAAGAGCATTTGCATCCTGTGTTCTCTAAGGGCGGGGACCAGTATCATTCCACCTGGTGCAGGTGATCGCTATGAAAACACATCATCAGACCAAGGTTTTGGAGGTTTATCTAACCCCCTACTTTGCTCCAAGAACTATTCTATTGCCTATATGCAATACAAACTTTCAAACTGTTATCATTTTTATTTTTTCCAGTGCAGAAAAAAAGTACAACCCACCAAAACAAAAGACATGCAAATTACATTGCAAATGGAGTGATGACTGTGTTAATACCAGAATATCTTGTTTTAATGGGTGATATGTCTATATAACTATGAAAATAGATACCATACCCTGGCTATTGCAAACATAATCAGTGAGAATGGTCAATGTAATTTACTTAAGAGGTGGAGTTGGCTGATATACTACACAAATTACAATCATAAGACTATATGACCAGGATGCTGGTGTTTGCACAGTAAATGCTGAGGATCAAAGTTCTTTTCCATGAACACATGACAACAGTGTTGCTGATTAGCAAGGCTTTGAGAGATGTGAGGTAGCTTTGCATTCGCCAAAGGCATTATTTGCATACTCTTAGAAAAAAAACACTATGTAAAATGTAAGATATCATAACCTGTAATGCCAACAACTGTAATATGGTTGACTTGCCATCAGAGAAAATGATCAGAATAGCCATAAACACTTTGCTAGAATGCTGAATGCTGTTCTTGTGAGACACAGACTTTGTTTTGCTATGTGATAGCTGTCTTGTAGCTGCACTAAGGAAACATGAACCAGCAAGCTTACTCCTGAATAATTGACAGAAAAGTCACAAAGGTCCACTACCCCTCTGCCCCTTCTATCATGTGTCAAGTGAAGAGTTTTGGATCCGCAGACGCAATAGATTTGGCAACATGCTGTGGAAAAGAATTGTGAAATAAATAATAGACTGAAACTCATTGTGAGTGTCAAGTTAATGTCAGACCAAACTAATCCAGATATACTTTAGCCTTGTTGTTGATAGTCTGCGCCAAATTAATTTGTACTCAAGGGAGATTACTTCCTGGCTTGTTATAGCACAAATATTGCAACCTAAACATATGAATTACAGAAGATATAATAGACTATGCCATGACATCCATAATGGATTCCAGGTGACTTAATTTTCTCAAGCAACCCAAACAAAGTAAATCACTACTATTGCCTTCCAATTTTTAACAGCATGATAATGAGTCTTCAGGCAAAAAAAAAGAAAAGAAAAAAAAGAGAGAGATTAAAATCCAGTTTGTAAACTTTCATTACTGTAACTGACATATTCATTATTAATTTTCTTTTAATAAAAAAAAAAAAGTTACAGAAATTCCTGAAGATCAAAACTTTCAGAAGCAGCTGAATATATAATATTCATTTCAAATGTTCATGAGTGAAACATTTTAAAGTTTGTCTTACAGACAAAACCTGACAAAATCAATATAAATGTTATTATTATAGGCCCATCTTCCTGATTTTATTAAGCCCATAAAACCACCTGTCTCACCTAGCCTTTAGACCTAATCCTTTCATACATGGTGTGTCCAGAAAAGCTTGAATTGCAATTAATGTGAATGTAAAAAAGGAAAGCGATTACTTTGCACGAGGACATCCAGGGTGGTAGAGGACAAACCTAAACAAGAACATCAAGGGCTGAGCCGCATTCATAGCTGAAATATGAATTGGCAGAAATGGCAGCAATATTTCCATGTCATGAAGCATTGCTGTATACCTACAAAAAATTTTGGGGAAAAAGTTTTTGGTTTATAAAGGCAATCAAGACCATTGCATGTTATATACAACATATGAGAGAGAGAGAGAGAGAGAGAGAGAGAGAGAGAGAGAGAGAGAGAGAGAGAGAGAGAGAGAGAGAGAGAGAGAGAGAGAGAGAGAGAGTTTGCAAGTTGTCAGGTGTGTTAAAAAAGGATAAATAAAAGAATATGAAGAATCACTAGGCAAAAATATATGCTAATCAAATGAAGGGTAAGAACATGCATATGGGTTACACCCAGTCGTTCCATCATCCATTGTGAATCACATACAGTGAGATCCAACAGTCTGAGACTACTAGAGAATATACTATTTTCTTTTTTTGTATTTTTTTTCTCCCAAATGTAAATCATTTTTCTTTTTAAATTATACATAAATTTAAAATGTGGGCAAACAAATTCATTAGATACTGTATGTAGGTTAATATAAACGTGTTGTGGTTTATCGTTGTGCTTTTGTGATATATAGGTCCTGTCTTCCACAATGCACCTGCTGAAAGGCCCTTAGACAAACATGATTCTGGGAGACGTCCCTCCTCTGTCACTAAAGCTGAACCTGATATAACAGAGAAACACAGTAATTGAGCTTTTCACAATTCATAAAAGCAGAGTCAAATTGGTCAGATAACTTTTAATGATGATTATTATTTCATTATATCACCACATAGTTTTGACTCAAAAAAAGACAAACGGACAATCACACTCCAGTCATTTTAATTGATCATCTCCATTTTTAATACAGGTGATATGAAACAAATGCAACAACCCTGTTTACACTTGGCTTCACTTGAGCTTCCTTTGGGGGATGGAGGGGCCATAATGGTGGCTAACATGATCCTAGCAGTAACTGTTAGATTAGAGAGAAGGACTGTACACGATGCAGGTCACTGAATATGCGACAAAAAACTTAAGGACAGGTAGGCGACAAACAGATGAGGAGGGAAATCCTCTTTGAACGTCACATGCACCAACAACCCCAGAGAAAAGCTGTCGCCTTTCCTCTGCGGTTGAAAACAGTCACACGGATGTCATAGATACTGAACGCATGAAATCAGATCATAGAAAGGCCACTGATTTCACAGTTTTTCTAAAAGCCTGGGTTGGATTTCGGTTGGGGATAACCAGATGCACGCAATAAAGCCATTACCTGCTATACCCCCTTGCATCTTTCTCCCAAACCCGTATTAATTATTATTTGTATTTTTTTCTGCTCTGTAATATACTTTTCATTATTTACAGGGATGTACACAAAATACACTTAAAAAGAGGATCTTCCATTTCTTTGCAATAAAATGTCACAGGACGTTTTGTATTGTCTCTTTTTTTGTTACATTCCAGCCGCGAGCATTCAAGAAAACAAAACGGAAAAATATTGTGACCAAAAAACACAAATGGCGTAAAATATGGTCCTTAAAAAGGGGGTGTGTTCGAGTCCTGTTTGTGTCAGTGTGCAGTAATTCTATGGAGACAACTCAAGAACGGCTAGTTGGAATTGAAGTGACAGCTTTGTCAGCAACCCACAATTCCTTAATGTCTTTTCTCCACACGCATGAGATTTTTGTTCAGCTCGATATTTGTTCAAACCCCAAATGCCTTTTTGCTTTTCCAAACGACTGGTCTCTGTTGATTGACAGGCAAGTTTAAGGAGAAAAAAAAACTTTCTGTGTGGAAAGGGGTAGACGGTGAGGTGGTGTTTTTTCTCATATTCAGCATGTTATTTTCATTTCATCTTATTTTTTAATCAGCGATATTATCATCATCTCCATTTGGATCTTTTTTTGTGTTCACAAAAATAGGATGGTGCGCCCCCTGTTGGGGGGTTCAGGTTCATCCCACAGATGAAAGCAGTCATGGTCTGGAGAAGGCTTGTGTGCCTGTGTGTGAAGTGTGTGCATGAGTGTGTGTGTGTGCCTGACTGGAGAGGAGGCGTGTTTGTGTGCGTCTGAATCATGGATATTCACGTCAATTCAACAGTCACTGTGAGAATAAGTGGTAGGCATATCAGTCCAAACTTGTGCAAACCAGGAGCTCCATCTGAAAGAAAAAATAAATAAATAAAAGTAATTAGTATTTGGCAGGAAGGCGATCATCTAACCTTGGTCTAAATACTTGGTTTGAAACAAACACACAGCCTTAATGGGATAGTTCACCCACAAACAAAATGTACCTGTCATTATTTACTAACCCACATGTCATTTTAAAACTTTATGATGTTTTGTGTGTGTGTGTGTGTAACACAAGAGAGAGTTTTGAGAAGTTATTATGCTCATCTAGTTCAAAAAGGACAAAAGAAAGATAAAAAAAAATAGTGGATATGATTTGAGTGCTATAGATTAGAGTAAGAAAAAACAGACTAACATTTATTCATTATTCAATTTCAAATTGAATAATTCATACAAATCATTATGCAGATCTCAAATTAAATATGCAACACATTGGATGTCATAACATTTGATGTTATTGATTGATCAACACCTGCAAAGTCAAATGGACAACTTCTATAGTGATTCTTTTGGAGGCGAGGGTGAGTAAATAATGGCAGACTTTTCATTTTTGGGTGATCTATCCCAAATGTAAAGGATCTTATAAAGGAGGAAGCAAAGTTCCTCACTTTCTGCGTGAGAGACCCCTCTAGCTGAGGTACAGTGGGCTGTATGAAAGCTGTATGAGCTAGCTAGTTTTCTCAGGTAGGGTACTTCGCTGTAATTGTCTAATGCACTCTAAAAGGTTTGAACAAGCTGTAGAGTGGTGGTGGATCAGTGGGGCCAGAACTTTCATGCATACTACACAATGTTCAATAAGCACAAAATGATGATGGCTGACATAAGTATTATGAGCAATATTTCTTCAGAGCTAAAGTAATTTTATTACCATCTCTCTCATTTTCATTGACAAAACAAGTGGTAATTAACATTACTTCTACATTTATGGCTTATATTGGTGTTAGTGCTACAATTAATATAACATAAGTACCACTTCATATCCACAATATGAATAATTGTTTTCTTTTATGGTTAAAACTCAGTGGTTATGTTCAGAAAGGAATACTAGCATACCGCAGCACAGTATACTGTAAACAGATTAACACTTTATTTCGATAGTCCTCTTTAGACATTCTACTAACTATACGTCATGTTTTAAACTACATGTCACCTACAAGTATGGGGGTAGAATCGTTCCTGTATTCCAAATATAGATTAAGAACCACAAATAAGTGTGGTTCAAATTAATTAAATTTACAGATAAATAAAATGAGATTTGTCAATAAAAGACATTTTCACAAATGTGCTGTTATGTAACGAACACAACTCTGCCTGGCATTAATTTGTGAATCGCTTTCTGTGCATTTGTAGATCACCGCATGCATTTGTGGATTTCGAAACATTTCTTGATGTTCAGACAAATCCACAAATAGATGGACTCCACCCACTATCTACTCAAGCCAATCAGAGAACAGCCACATTGCGCTGACTAATCGTAGCATTTTCTCACTACAACCAATTATGTTTTGCTTTGAACTCGGGGCGGGAACAGATTAGTCTCTGCATTCTACGGGCACTTCGAATTGATCTGAAGTACTGTTTGCATGGTTAAAACTTTACAAAAGATTGTTGGAGTTTAATGCTTCTTTATATTTCCATCAGGATCAGTGAATCAGGATAAACACAGGATTAAACACAAATTATGATTATTCACAGATCCTGAGCTATAACACCATCTCTAATGCATGCAGTGCGGCGCGTCAGAAGCAAATAGAACGCATCAGTGATCAGTGATACCGTCTACATTGGACGCGGCGCTGTGCGCTGCAAGAAACGAAAGACCCACTATACTTCTATAGTACTCCACACTGGAGCTACTTACACAAATATAGAACATAATACCATGTATAAAACCAAATATGAGCCCAAATGACCATCAGTGAACAATACGAATCTCAGCATCACTGCTGCTTACAGGGGGTTTGTGAGTGGATGATGCAAATAAAAACCTTGCAAACTTTGCATTTATTTTGGAAGCTGTAAGTAACAATCAAAAACTATTAAGTCTGATTCATATGAAATATTATTTGTGTTATGGAGTGTTTTAACCAATAAATAAGTATTGCTTATCTGTCTGCTGGACGGTTTACTTTTAAATGCATCATCTCTTTGAAATTCAACAACCTGTCACGTTTAAAAAGAACCCACGTATATCTTCTCTACAAATGATGGGAATCATTTTGTAATGCATTTAATTCATGTTTAAGATATTACTTATAATGCTTAATAGATCATTAGATCCACGGTTTTGTGCTCCGTGCTCGAGATGTACAGTATAGGCTACTGCATATTTTGGCAAATGCATTAGGCCATCTGCCAACTCCATGCATACAGAAATTAACATACCGTGTAAAGTATTAAAATATGTATGTATGGTAGTTTAGCATTCTGAAAATACCCAGCATTTTATTTATTTATTTAAACTAATGATACAGCAGTAGAATTCCAGACTTCTGGCCATTTGTGAGCACTAGTCTTTAGGGTGTTCTTTTGTGAGTCGAGAGGGTGTTTGAGATTCAGACACACGTCAGACATGGCGACCTCCCGAGGCCTTGTTCTACAAGCCATTTGACTTGCATACGAGGGGCATCTGAGGCTCGACTCAAGATCAGCGCTCACGTTGACCTGATTCTGTCCTTGCTCTCACACACCTGCCCTGCCGCATTTGCATATTCAAATTTACATCCGTAGATGCGGCGGAGCAGAGGAAAGGGGTGCGGTGAAGGGTTTCGGGTGAGGCAAAAGAGAGAATGAAAAAAAGAATAAGAGAAAAACATAAGTGGTAAAAAAAGGGCAGAGGCCTCATTTCCACCCCTCTGCCTGACAGTTCTTCATCTTTACATATGAGTCTCTAAGAAACTGTAAATGAGCCAGCACTGAATGTATAAAACAACTGCAATCCATCACTGATTTATATTTGCTGTGGACGCGCTGGTGCATTGGTAAGTGATGGCTCACTTCTAGATTCTAAATGATGAAAGCAGCAAGCCTTCGCAAGACACATGGGCTCTTGAGAGGAGGACAGGACGGAGAGAGACCAGAGACAATAAAAGCACAGTATGCAGCTTTAGAAAATCTCAGACAGGGAAATAATTAAAAAGTAAATAACCATTACTGTACCATTACGCCATTTCCCTTTCCCTGGATAGTATCTGAATAGCAGTGTTCTACAGCACCTTTTCAATCTACAAAATAACTGGTTATTGGATCTCTTGTATTCTCCTATTCTCAGTATGATTATAGATAAAAGTCTATACTTTTACTTGCTGTATAACTGTAATTTATCAAACCACAGTTTAGCAATTTCGCAATTATACCATGCGTAGGAAGAAACGCTGTTTATGAAACATCAAGCACTTAGACAAAGTAGGCTATACTCTATATGATGTGTAATTCAGTCAATGGTGTCTAGTTAAATCACGTTTAAAAAAAATAGTATGCAATACAGTCGTCACATGACCCATGTTGAACACAACAAGTGGTCTCTAGTTATGTTACAAAATAAATTTGATTATTTGGCAGATTATTCCAAATTTAATTCAAGTTTACCTTTTGGCAGTCCTATCAATTAATCAGTCAAGACAATCTCTGAGGTTGAAATAACTTTTCATTCCATTCACTGAAGATCATGTCGAACACGACATAATGGGATGCTGTATATTGACCTTGCCTTGCTTCATTATTGTTTATTAATTTTGAAATTACACCACCCATAGGAAGAAAACTCCCTGGAACCTCTATACGTAATAAAAAAAAAAGAAGATATATATATATATATATATATATATAAAAAAAAATAGTATATGACCAAAAAATAGTATATGACTTGTCACATGACCAGTGTTGTTATTGTTAACTAAAACTAAAATGATTAAATATAGTTCTTGTTAATTGAAATAAATGTGGAATAAAGCTGAAAAATATAAGCTAAATAGAAATATAAAAAAGTAATAAAATGACAAAAGCACATAACAAAATTAATAAATACTTAATAGTATATAAATACTAAAATAACACTGCACATGACCTTACAGTGTTGCTTATTTAATTCAAGAATTGATGTCTAGTTAATAATTTTAGAAATAAATAATTATTTGGAAAATGTTATCCAATTTTGTGTAAAAAAATTTTTTTGGGGTGAAAAGGCCAAGGAGATATTGCTTTTGGTTCAAAATGAAAGATCAAGTTTAGTGCAATGCATTGTGGCATGCAGTATTCTGACCTTGCTGCATCTCGCTGCATATTATCTGTATATATATTTTTTAAACTTTAGTTCAGCACTCAGGAAGAAAACACTGCTGCTCTTTTGTAATTTTTAATTAATCAAAGAGTCTTCTCAAACTAGAGGAAACAAGAGGCAGCAAAAGCCTCACACAGCCAATGAATATAATAGAGGCCTTCAAATACTTACTGTTTGGATTCTGTGTGTTTTTCATCATACTTGGGTTTTCTGCAGAACAGAGGAAGAGGAGGGGGAGTTGGTGAGAGGGAGAGAGAAATAGTCTATTATTAGATAATACAAAAAATAACCATCATAGGTTTGTGGTCTAATGAAGGATAAAAACCACAAATCTCACAGACAAGACTAGAATACCACCAAAGAGCAATCAGCAGCCAAAGTTCATAAGTTCACCCCTATTCTTGGCTGACTTCAATGTAAAATCCACCAAAGACTGGAACCTTTTGAACTTTGAGTTCTCTGTGAATGCACAGAGAACAAACTTAAAAAAAAAAGAACAGAAAAAAAACCCATCAAAATCTTTTCCAAGAATCCTCAACCGTCACCTCGACTGATACCATAGCAGCAAAAATCTATTAACAAGCATCCTTTATCCTAAATGCTAATCTTTGTTCTTTAATACAGCTGATGGGCTTTAATGAATGGCTATTGAAACAGGTCAATAGTAGCCCAGTTCAAAGGCTCTAATCACCATTCTCCACTCTCTGCCACCCGTGTTCAGACTCAAAAGGACAAGGGCAATTTGAACGAGGTGGATGACGCAGGGCACACTTGGGTGTTACATAGACATTAATGCTCTTCCACGTGAACCATTCCCCAGGTGACGTCCTCTCCAAAGAACCACTTTCCACCAAATGGCCTCCTGTGCTCAGCCCAATGATTTGTAGATGTGTCTCAATGCAAAGAATTGCACAGCACATGCTCATCTAAAATGGAACATGATGCACTTAATGGAACATTTTTATGATATATTTATTTTTCTTTTCCATCCTTTTTGAAGTTTGAAAGCTCCAGTCACCATTCGTTGTAATCGCATGGCAAAGTGACGAATTCTTCAAAATGTGGAGTTTGGAATGAGACAAGGGTGGGTGAATAATGAGAAAATGTTCAATTTTCAGTGCCCTATCCCTTTTAGTTTAGCAAAGGTTGTGCATGTGTCATACACGATTGTGCATTATTTTGAGGAGTGAGAAAAAAAGAGTTTTCGCATGTGGTTGAATCTGCTATAAACAACTGATTCAATTGATCACAAGTGCAATAGTATGTTCACGGCTGATGATGAACCATACTGTATGCAGCTTGTTGTCCTCAGCCTTGGGTGTCATTCAGATTATCCAGAGGAGCACCGACTGTCCTTTATCTTCCAAAGCACATCTTTGATTAGATCTGCGCTCACGCTATAGGCAGATCTCTCATAAACCCTGACAGCCTCGAAAACTCAGGGGGGAAATTAGTCCAGGGGCGACAAAGCGCGGGCACACGCACACACACACACACACACAAAGTGTCAGCAAACAATTTCTTTCTAACATCAATGAAAACAAAAGCCAAGACTTAGTGGGCACAGCATCTGTTTCAGCAGCAAAGGATGGCTAGACAAAACCACAGGGGAATGAAATTATCACACAAAAGAGCCAATTTTTCTTTTAACAAGATGTTGACAATTTGATATTTGTGCTAACAAAAGACAATATCTCTTAAGGAAAGACATCTGTGACCCAAAAATTTCAGAGGTACAAACGGTCATGTGTAAATGTAGTCATCTATCTTACGTCACACATTTTTGGTATAAGCCACTTTTCCAGCTTAGTTTCGATTACTCTTTATATGTAATATTCGGTTTCATTTAGCACTTTCTAGTGAACAAATATGTTATTTTCATTGACTAGAATTAGAGTGAATTTTACTAAAATTAATGAATATGACATATATATAGACTTTTAATATTACATAGACAAAATATAGACAAAAACAAAAACTAACAAGGACCTTTATTTAGTGTATTTAGGATAGAAAAAGGAGTTACTGCTGGAGCGACTCACCAAAAACAATGAGGCGTGTGTGTGTGTCAGTGGAGCCCAATGGATTCTGGGCCGTGCAGCGGTACATGGAGCCATTGAGTTCTGCAGGCACTCGTTCCAACACCAGTTCCTTCCCATCTTTCTCGGCACTGCCGTCCAGGAGTCTGCCGCCCACCCGAGTCCAGGTGAACAGAGGCTCAGGAAACACCTCATTCTGGAAGTAGTGTATGTGTGTTTAGTACACAAGAATGTGTACATTAAGGAAAAAAGATGAAGAGAAAAATAATCAGTTCAACCCCAAGATACAGAAAGGGATGCACAATAAATTGGTACTGAATCAGTTCTCGGCCCAATATTAGAGAATTTTTTTAATTGTCCATGCCTTCTCCTATTTTTACATTTGCTGTCATCTAACTACAGTTAGTTTTTTTAACAGACATATATAAAAATGAATAACCATTTTTTAATACTGTAAATTATAATACTGTGATGCATAAATTCACTTCTAGAATTTTAAATAGATTTTTTTAAAATGTTTTATTTTTTATTTATTTAGTTAAAATAATATAGAATATAAATTATTTTAAATAATTATCAGCTTATTGGTATCACCTGAATATTAATATCAGTGCATCCCTTAGAAATACAGTGCATTTTAAAAAAGTATGTTAAGACATTAAGGAACTTGTTAAATTATGAATAATTTAAACCCATTTCGAAAAACACCTATTTTTTTTACTTAAACAATCAATAATCAATACCTTTTTCAGTTTGGAAGAAAGGACAAAAATAAGATATATAAATATTGTACCAAGTTACCAACACATCAACAATTTAGACATTTCTTGTTATAGACTTATCCAGGAAGAGGAATGTTAGGGTTTTGATGGTTTTTAGCGGGGCAATGAAAAAAATACCACATCAAACAGGTAGTCCACAAGAGGCAAAAGAATATAAAATATTCTTATACACTCCTTTACAGAGGTCCATGGTGTATAGCATTGTCTGCAACTACAGTATGCCTGGAAGCCCACTCACACGATACTAAATTCTTTCATGTCTATTTTGAACAAGTCCTTGCATTTTAATACTTGTGAAAGCTCACTATAAGATCGTTTGATTCTACACAAAAGGACAGGTGTGATGAAACCCAGAAACAAGGTAGAAAATCTCAGTGCCTGAGCAAGGGCTACATCCTGATTCGTTTTAGACCCATCTTTCCTCTGCTGATCAAACCAATCTACCCATGTCCTAGGTGTGATAGGTGACTGGCTGGCACAATCCATCTAACTTCACAAAATCATGTGGCTTCACTGGGTGACCTCTGATAATGGCTCATTGGAGAGTGTGGCTTGGCTGTGTGTCACTGGACTTCCACATTCACACCATGACTGCAGTGAAATGAGTTTGCACTTGCTGGTGGAATTAGGTCAGATCCAGATCAAAAATATCCCCCATGGCACATGGTTTAGATCAGGATGTACTGTAATGGTAAGACAAGCTCTTGGAGAGCATAAATGCTTTTGTACTCTATTCAAATACAAATTTCAAATTAGAAAGGAAGGAGACACCAATGTGACCCCTCCTGTTGGTGGATTTACTAATGTCAAAGTAAACCAAAGGGGATATTGAATCTGTTTTTTTTTATTTTTTATTGCAGGGCAGTATTTAGTTTTCTGTGTTAACATTTATCTACCTACATGTGAAACCCAGGGCTCTGGAGCAGCTAGGGATAAGGGAGACGTTCTTCCAAATAAATCTTCATTGGCTTTAAAATCCTCTGAAATCCTTTGTGTAAATATTAAGATCCAAAATGGATTTATGTCCCCGTCAAGCCTGTTTATGGTGACCATTCTTTCTATTATTTAAAGGTGTACTTCAAATATGTAAATTGTGGGTGAAATAAACACACAGATCTGCCAGACAAACTGCCCATGCACCAACCAACTCCCTCCACCTTCACAGGTTACTCCATCTAAGTGTTTTTCCCATTCAAAGCCCCAAAAGAGAGGGCATTCTAGTTAAAAAAATCCAGTTTAAGATGGTCGCTATGTTTTGGAACATGGATTATAGCTGGTCTGAACTTGTCCAGGCTGGTCATTAGTTGGTCTCACCGGACATTGATAGGTTTAGACTGGGATTGTTGCCCATCTAGTGACCTGTGTTAACCTGCAAATGGCCAGTTTATATCTGCTAAAAATAGTTAAGATCTGGGAATTACCAGTCTAAATCTGCTAATGACCAGTATACACTCACCGGCCACTTTATTAGGTACCCAATGCTAGTAACGGGTTGGACCCCCTTTTGCCTTCAGAACTGCCTCAATTCTTCGTGGCATAGATTCAACAAGGTGCTGGAAGCATTCCTCAGGGAGTTTGGTCCATATTGACATGATGGCATCACACAGTTGCCGCAGATTTGTCGGCTGCACATCCATGATGCGAATCTCCCGTTCCACCACATCCCAAAGATGCTCTATTGGGTTGAGATCTGGTGACTGTGGAGGCCATTTTAGTACAGTGAACTCATTGTCATGTTCAAGAAACCAATTTGAAATGATTAGAGCTTTGTGACATGGTGGAAGTAGCCATCAGAGGATGGGTACATGGTGGCCATAAAGGGATGGACATGGTCAGAAACAATGCTCAGGTAGGCCGTGGCATTTAAACGATGCCCAATTGGCACTAAGGGGCCTAAAGTGTGCCAGGAAAACATCCCCCACACCATTACACCACCACCACCAGCCTGCACAGTGGTAACAAGGCATGATGGTTCCATGTTCTCATTCTGTTTACGCCAAATTCTGACTCTAACATCTGAATGTCTCAACAGAAATCGAGACTCATCAGACCAGGCAACATTTTTCCAGTCTTCAACTGTTCAATTTTGGTGAGCTCTTGCAAATTGTAGCCTCTTTTTCCTATTTGTAGTGGAGATGAGTGGTACCCGGTGGAGTCTTCTGCTGTTGTAGCCCATCCGCCTCAAGGTTGTGCCTGTTGTGGCTTCACAAATGCTTTGCTGCATACCTCGGTTGTAACGAGTGGTTATTTCAGTCACTGTTGCCCTTCTATCAGCTCGAACCAGTCTGGCCATTCTCCTCTGACCTCTGGCATCAACAAGGCATTTCCGCCCACAGAACTGCCGCTCACTGGATGTTTTTTCTTTTTCGGACCATTCTCTGTAAACCCTAGAGATGGTTGTGCGTGAAAATCCCAGTAGATTAGCAGTTTCTGAAATACTCAGACCAGCCCTTCTGGCACCAACAATCATGCCACGTTCAAAGTCACTCAAATCACCTTTCTTCCCCATACTGATGCTCGGTTTAAACTGCAGGAGATTGTCTTGACCATGTCTACATGCCTAAATGCACTGAGTTGCCGCCATGTGATTGGCTGCTTAGAAATTAAGTGTTAACGAGCAGTTGGACAGGTGTACCTAATAAAGTGGCCGGTGAGTGTAGACCTGACAAAGACCAGTAAAACAATAGGAAAATGGTCTGTTTTAACCATCACCAAGCTACCTGGATTTCCCAGGAGGGATACAACAGAACTACAGTAACATTCCTTTAAATTCATGACACAAACGATGAAATAGCGTAAAGTAGATTCAGTGATGATAGCATATCGGGTCTAATTTCTTTCCACCTGAATGCTGTTGGCTAGACACATCTCTTAGTCAGACCTGTCAAAAAGATTGGGTGGATCATCACCAAACTGTGCTGTGTTTATCTGTTGGGGGAAGATTTTTTTTTTACCCCTTGGCAGACGGTGATAGTTACACTGAGACAATCTCCCTGCTTCACTAGGTCTGTGGAAGCTGACGGACTATTGATGCAAGTATAAATTTGGCGCCGTTGACAGTAAAGCGCTCCTGGCTAGCTCTGTGCTCGCACCTGTTTTGCTAGCTAGTTTGACAAGAACAAACAAAAGAAACAAAATCCCTAAAAGCTGCAGTGAAATACATCAACAAACAGCTGATTTGTTTTTTAATCAGATGCTCTTATGCCTTCTGGTGAGAATACAAAACAGAACACAAACACAAGTGAGAGGAGTTTAGCATTGGCAAAGAGAAGCCAAATGTTAGCATAATAAATCACTCTGCCTTATTTCTGGGGCTATTCTTGTCAAGCATAGGTTTTTCACTGCAAAAAAAAACAAACATCTTGATCAGTTTTCAGGTCTTGTTTATACCATTTTATTGGAAAACATCCTTTAAACAAGATGCATCTATATTAGACGCAAAATGGCATAAGTTATTAAGACTTGTTTTCAGAAAATATACTACTTTATACTAAATTAAACTAGCACACTGTAATACTAATTAAGTTTATTTTTGTTAACTCATTTTAATTGAGCACAAATATAACACAATTTAGTGAGATTTTATGCTTAAAAATAGGAAAACTCTTTTCGACAATGGGCTAAGAAAATAACCTTAACTTGCTAGTTGCTACTTATTCTCTGAAAATCTCACATAATTTAGAAGTACAAGTAAATGTGTCTTGTTTTAAGGATGTTTTTACATTCTACATTTTTTCAGATATTCTTATTGGAAAACAAAACCAAATTATTAAGATCTTTTTCTTTTCTTTTTGCAGTGCTCTGAAACACCAATTATTTCCTTTAACGGCCAACAGCAGGCAAACCGGATAAACGTCTAAATGGAACAAATGTGAATCATGTTATCAATTAGCGAATTCATGACTCCGACAGTTTTTCATTTTAAGAGATTTATTAAATGCAACAGCGTATTAGTTTTGTTCCCTTTGTTCTGTGTTTATGGAGATGACAATGAAATATAGAGCACTAACAACAGAAAAATCAATTAGAAATATTCTTATTCTTATTCTTTTATTAGACTACTATCTTATCTCACAGCCGATATGAACCCATTCCTTCCCAATAACCTTGAGTGCTCAAGGTCTTTTTGTGAGTTGCAGCCCTAAGTGCTTTTCAATAGATCACTTTCAAAGTTTTTTTTGTTCTCGTGACCTTTAAAGGACTTTGAAAACCCTCTATTTTGATTTCATTGCAACTTAAATGATTGAACGGTTTGAATTTGTCAGATGCAGTGCAACCCTCCTCGGACAGGCTGAACCATTTGGATTGATAGCTCATGGATAGCAGCAGCGGGGTCAGGTGCTGACAGATACATGTGTTGCATTGCACACTCTGTAAGAATGGTCACTATAGTTTTACATCACACAGGCTTAACTGCACATGTGGGACAAACCTCCTCGTATCCAAAACTGAACTTGGCCCTGGTTTCGTAACCCCCATGCACTTACCACTGGAGATCCTACCTGGAAACCTTGGACGGTGATGCGAACCGTATCCCCTACCTTTGCCCTGGTAGGGGATATCACAAGCCTGGGGCCTTTAGGAGCCGCTATGAAGGGAAACAAGAAAAAATAAATTGAGTTTTTGTTGGGTAACATTAAAACAATAGCACAGTATTAACAGACTAAAGACATGGTGTTTGACTTGGAGGTCAACTTGGAGACTCTTGGTTTCCTTCATTGAAATTGCTGAGGAGTATTTATTTCCCAAGAGGGACAAGGACCTAAATTGGGTAGACACTCATTACTGAAGAAGAAACAGAGCGTGCAAGGCAAACGGTGGAGGAAGTAAGATAAGAGACACTTAGAGAACTAATTCCCTTGTCTTGTGTGGACCGAATCTCCCAGATGGATTTAATTTGGTCTCAGAGAATGGCTGGGATGTGATGAAGGAAAGGAAGGTTAAAACATCATATTTTGACCTTCTCAGGCACAGAGGATTTCTCTTGTGTACTCAGGGGAAAGATAAGAAAGTGATTTTGTACGTCTGGAAAGTGAGACCACAAGTTTCTCAAGCGAAACTTCCTCTATTTGGCAGTACGAGCAGGACGCTTTATAGCAGTGCGAAAAAGCCTCCGACTGGTCCCATGTTAAGTGGTTCTGCACCGTTTACTATGATAACCGGCATCCACTCTGCATAGCCCTGAGAACCATAAAACAAGTTTTGTGAGCCATATGTTTGCACTAACACATAATTCCAGAGTGAAGCTTAGTAAAGGCAAATCAGACTTGAAATTGTTCAAAAATACATCCCACTGTGGCCTTTTTTCAACCCTCATTACGACTAATGCTACGCTTTGGCTCCTACAACACATACAGATAATCCAACTACTGAGAACTATGTGAAACAATGGCTAATCATGCTTTTAGCCATCAATCAACCCACAGAGTGTCCAGCAAAAGCTAATGAGGCATCAGGCCAGTCTTAGTCAGTTTAATGATTACCCCCTGGTGCTGCTTAATGGATTATAATTTCCGCTCTTACATTTGTAATGGGTCCTGTGAATGTGCATTTCACACATAAATCAAGTTATGTCAGGACACTACACTGAATACACAGAAATCCTCTTTTACCAGCTTTCCTATTATGGAAATGATTTGGGATATTAGCGGCCAGGCTCTGCAGAGTGGAAAAAGAGATGTGAAATGCAATGCACAAGAGAGATTAAGAGTTTGTCAAGGCATGAATCATGACTCAACGACTCCATCGATTTTCCCTGAGAAAACAGTTGAAAAACAAAAGGAGACCATTGATAGGGCCTGTGTTCTGACAGAGCAATGGACACTTGAAGACTGACCCTGCCTTTTCCGTACCAAGTGGATGAATTAACGGATCAATACCTTGGATTGCCTAACCTAAGACCTAACCACAGGAGTTGACAAAAAAAAAATTTCACTGAGCTGTGATATTTTCCTATCCATGATGCCAGGTAACGATTCTGCCATTTCCGTCTCTTTTTTAAAGAAAACAAAAAGAGTAAATTGCACCGGTTAAACTGTATTTTTAACAGAATTACCCGGAAAAAGCCTAATAAAAAGCTCGCTGTTGAAGTAAAGTGATGGCCAGATATCTGGAACCAACTTCAGGATCCAAACAATGTACTGTAACTGAGGGCCACAGAGCTGTCGACTTTTCAGGCTTCACTAGGTTAGAGAACTACAAAGTTTCAATATTTAGTTTTAATATTAGCCGAGTATGAAATTGAGACCTTTAGGAGCTGCTATGGAGGGAAATAATTGGAAAATACTGTAAGCTAAGATTGTGCTACCATGTCAAGTGTGGCTCTGGGCTAATGTAATTTACCCAAGAATGTTCCTGGAACATTCTCGTCAACCAATCAAATTCTTTAGTTAGGTTTACATATGATTGTTTGCTAGAAATGTTGTTACAGGACCAACAAAGGATGTTTGTTATCCATGCCCGACATGTATAAATGATGTCATACTTGAGCCTGGCTTTCTACTCAGACTTGTTTGACCAAACCTTCAAATGACCATGTCTCTCGTGCTTCTATGGTCCACCGACAATTGAAGCCACTGAAACTCTAAATGGAGATATAAGGATGTTTGAATGTGCACAGATTAGTTCACACTCCCACAAACCACCCACAATAAACATCTGTGTACTTATTATCAGTCTATTGGGTAGAGGAACTTGGCGTGCAGCATAGATCATCTTTAGCCTCTGGATGTGAAAATATAACTCATTCCCCTTCTGTGTTTTGCTGAATCAGTAGCACCTTCACCCATGCAAATCGTCACTGCTGAGCCTGGCTCAGCTTTAATTATGGAGAGGCACTGACTGAATCACTGCATATTTGGACATGACTGACAGACAGCCAAGTCAGGGCAACAAGCCCAGCCGTGATGCTCTGAGGTGAGGACAGCGTTCTGAGAACACCGCCTCCATGGACCAACCGCATCCATTTAGGACACCGCGTGAGACTCGCCTCATGAATATTCAGTGAATGTAATACAAATTTGAGTCACTATAAAGATGTTTCGGTCTCATGTGAAAATATTAAAAACTGTGAAAGATTTATGACTTGTGAATGCTCTTATAACTGGCCTTTCATTTTCTGAGTACAGGTTAGTGGATCACCTGTACCAGAAGTGTCAGGATAGTAACTGGAATAAATAAAACAGCCTTGTTCCTTTCAAGTCATAATGGAACAGAAGTTGCGACTGACTTTAGTTACAAATGTCAAATAATCACAGTTTATCACAGTTTTCACACAAATATTAAGCAGCATAACTGTTTTCATCATTAATATAATAAGAAATTGTTTCTTGAGCAGCAAATCAGCATATTAGAATGATTTCTGAAGGATTATGTGACACTAAAGACTGTAAAGACACTAAAGTAATGGCTGCTGAAAATTCAGCTTTGCCATCACAGGAATAAATCATTTAAAAATATATTAAAATAGAAAACAGTAATTTCAATTGTAATAACATTTCACAATATTACTGTTTTTACTTAATTTTTTTACCACATAAAAAAAATATACGGGAGTGTATGCATGTATGAGATAAGACACAATTAAAACCAATAAACTCTCCCGGTTGATGCATTTCTATTGTTGCACAGTTTATGCCCAACTGCATATAGTAAAACAACTTATTGATGTGGAATAAGGAATCTGTCTTTGTCATTTAGCATAAACCAATTCCTCAAACATAGAGGTATATCGTATATCGCATTTTGGTATATCGTGGCTATATGCGATCAAATTTTACTCTGCTGTTATTTTCCCCCGTGGTTATAATGATTATTTCATAAACACCAGGTAACCATGTTTGAGAGAAAATAAAATCACATCTCTCTATCTCTCATGGTAAGAGGCAAACATTTGTAAAAGAAGCAGATCCTCTTGCGATAGGATTGCAGAATTCTGTCTTAGCAGCCATGAAACGCACAGAGGGAGATCATGCTGGAATGAGACGTGAATGACGGAACAAGTAAGAATGAGAAAGAGAGAGGAATATTGAATGGAACTTCTAGACCATCCTTCCTTTCTTCGTCTTATCCCTTGTTTTTTGTCCTTTCCCCTCATTCATCTCTTTCTGCACTGCTCCTCTACCATTAAGTGTGAGAAATGTCTCTGTTTATCTTGTCTTGCGTCTCATCACTCGCCTTTTTCTGAGGGCTGATAGCAGAGACTACAAGTGAGTGCTGCCTTTGAAGTGATAATGGGATCATCAGGCCATCTTTGTTGTAGCTTTAAAAGCAAAAAAATGCACAAAAAAAGCCTCTCATCCATGAAAATACTAAGGTATGCGAGCATCCCATTCTTTTTTTGGTATTGCTCTATGACTTTTATTGCATGCAGACAAGTGAAAGCAAAAATGTAATTCCACTGACAAATATAAAACGCAACATGCATTTTTACATATCCTCGCCTTAGTCTCTTAAATAGCGGTAGGTAAAGCTTTTTTACAATTAAGAATGGGTTGCAACAGTGAGATCCAGGATCATTTTAGTGCACTGCGAGATTCCCTTTATCCCTGATTTCTTTAATTCAGGTTGACTTTTTCAATAACATGGTTAAGTTAACTCAATCTACTGCACAGACAGCTCAATGAATTGGCCTGTCACTCACTGGAAGATTTTGCATTGTGCATTAGCAACTGCAATCTACTTGCCTGTAACGCAATTAAGCAACAAATAGAAACCAGTGTTGGTCTCGCTGCATCTGTCAGATGGGGATGTAAAGGGATTTACCCGTGATCGGGTGAAGGGAGGTGAATGACTAGGATGAAGGTCAAAAACAATTCTTTCAAATCGATCTTAAGATCTATATCCTGCCAAATCAATGGTAAAGCCAACAAAAGCAAGACTTACCCAGTATGACCTCAGTCTGCATAGGCATAGAGAGAGCCGGGTGTGTGACCTCACAGCTAAACAGGGCGTCGTTGTCCAACTGTGGATTCAGCGTCCAGGTAAGCTTGGCCTGAACCAGCACAGACCCATCACTCTGGGGAATGTGTGTGTTGCTGAAGAAGTACAGGGGGTCTGTACTCTGAACCCAGCGAGGGAACTCCCGGCTTACCACTGTCTCTGGGATGGTCTCTGTGGCCGGGCTGGGCTCTTGGCCGGGCTGTCTGGCCATGTAGCTCCGCCCAGGGCTCTCCGTGTAGAGGCGTCCGGGCTTGCCATCCGGACCCAGCAGAGATAGAGACTTCCTCAGCTTAGTGTCATCCAGATCCCTGCTGATCAGAGGTCTGGCTCCACGCACACCAGCGGAGCCGGCACCCTCGTAACCCACAGTGGGCGAAACGTAGGATATTACCTCTATCAACTCTCCGTCCCGCTTGAAGTATACCTGGAAAGACACACAGAAAGTTAAAGTGTGTGCGAGTTTTCTCACCTTCAGTATGTTTATAAGCACTTCAATTAAACTAAGACCATTTTTAAAACACCATGTAAACCATTTAGTCCGACTGAAAACGTGTCAGAAGGACTGAAAACGAACAAAGTCCAACCTGCTTCTAAAATATGCTGGTATTACAGTGTATTAGGAAAACAGTATATGTGTCACATTATGATGAGGATGAAGATGTGAAGAAGCATAGCAGATCTAAATGTAGCTTAAAACAACAAACACGACAATAAAACAAAACAGTGTGCGCCATACACAACCAACACAAGAAAATCAACTCAGAGAACAAAATACTATATATACACACAAGATAATGAACTAATGCGAAACAGGTGTAAACTAATAAAGGACACAATGAATCACCGTAACAACATATTAACACAAACTAGAAACCATGACAACGAAAGGAAACAAGAAAATAATGTGACAAAATCCATTAAAATGAAACCAAAACACCAACATAACGTGACAAAATAAACGGTGCAGTTTTAAATAAATAAATGAGTAAATAAAAATGGGATGGAAAAAGACTCAAACCGGCCCCTAAAATATGCATGGCATTTTTATTTATCATTTATCTTTATACCAACATATATGTAAACTATAGGTTATGGGCCAGCTGAAGCCAGTTTTTGTCTATGATTTTTTTTATATTATTTTGACTATTTTTTTATTATTTATACCAGCTCCTAAAATATGCTATAAATAAATAAATAATTTTCCTTATCTGTCTAAAATAAAATTATTTTTTAATAATTAATAATAATAATGTTTGCTATTTTTTTAAAATTTTTTAGAAATTGTGTACTTCTGACTGTTGCATCAACAGAAACTTATGACTTCATAAAGATGCCAAATCAAATGACTTTAGATGTTTAAATGTGTTCTTAACACTCTTAAGACTCGCACTGATGTGCTAGGATTAGTTGGCAGGTCATGTATTACTACTAGTACAACAGTCAGTACGTCTGTGCTTGACTGTCACCTGGATATGCAGGCTGGTTCTGAAAGTGCTTTGCTGTCTCAACTCTCCAGCATTAAAACCAGCATAATTTTGGTATAAAAAGGGTACGAGGAATAGAAAGTATCTGCTGCAATCAAAGTAAACTGAAATTACTTGGCTTGTGATTGGCAAGTCTAAGCAAACGTATCTGGGAAAATGCTAAGCGTCATTCAGCCCTCAGCGCTGGTGAATGGAAAATAAACGTGACACAGTTTCTGCTTTGTGTTTATGTTCCACCAGCACATTGCTGTAACAGCCTCTCTCCACTACAGTGCATTTGGGTATTAAGATTCCCGGCTGGTAAATCACTTGACAGGGAATTAAGTTCCCACTTCAACACACAACCTCCAGATATGTGTATTAAATTCAGTAGGCCTAATGCCTGTAGCATTAATGTTTGCACAGTGCTCTGCTTGTACCCCTTTTACTCTCAATACATATATATATATGATATATAATCTGCTTGTCCATTCAGGGACCTTTGGACTCTTTAAATTCCGTTTGCACAAGATCAAAGTGTCATTGCATTACACAAGACCTTTCCTTGCACTGTAGCCCTTTTTCTGCCCTTTCTTCATGTGGTTTAGTCTGGCTTTGATTTGATCCCACCATTTATGCCCGCGCACTCTGCAGGGTAAATAAACATAATGTAACAAGGGTGAATTAAGCTCACGTCCTTGAGAAGTCTTGTTTCCTGCTAGCAATGTCACAAGAATTGAGAGAGATAGGAAGGGAGAAAGTCTCTTTTCCTCCATGCGAGGACTGTTTTTTTGTGGCTAATGTGCTCTAAAGTACACACTTTATCTCTGCTGCTGAGAGAGGTTAACAGCATATACCACACTGTGGCTTTTACTTGCATTATTGGACTATTTGCGCCTGCAGCCACATGGAAGCAGACAAAAGCAGATGCATAGTGGAAACCATGCTAATAGCTTAGGCTTCAGACAACAGCTAATGCCTAATATTAGTGGCTGTGTGAGATAACAAAACAACAGCTTGACTACGGAGGCTTTTTAGAAAGGACAATGCAATAATTCATGCCACGGCTGAACAGAGGCTAGTTCAACGAATGGAGGATCTATAGGTAAGTCAAATGAGGGAGTTTTCTAGCAAGCGTATGAGCAAATGCCAATTTATCACATGCCTGTTTGCCAAGTAAACTCACAATAACAAGGTTGCATTGGGGTTCAATACAATGCATACTGATCAAATATACAGTATAAATATTGTGACAAATTATTGCAATTTCAAATAACTGTTTTCTATTTGAATACATTCTGTAATGTAATTTATTCCTGTTTTAACACAGCTAAATTTTTAACAAGGGTTAGTTCACCCAAAAATGAAAGAAAAAAATCATCAATTACTTCCCCTGTTCCAAATCTTTAAGACTTTCGTTCATCTTCAAAACACATATGAAGATATTTTAAATGAAATCTGAGAGATTTCTGTCCCTTCATTGATAGTCCACACAACTATCACTTTGTTGTTTCAAAAAGTTCACTGTAAAAAATGTTACTCCTATTTAATTAAAAAAATATGGTAACAATATAACACATAATATTTTTGAGTAGTTAAGGCTTGATTTCTTTCATGGAATCTGAATAAATCATGTAAAATCCCCTTAATTATTTAGTCTATGATACAATGAATTTAATATTTTTAGTGAAATATGCTTTTTTATTTTAAGTTGACGCTCAATAGTGTGTGAATTAGAGTGAATGGAAATAACCTGATTATATTTGACTTTGAGTTATATTGCATTATTAAAAGACTGTATGCCGCGAGCACAGCACATAACCAAACTTGTTGCTGCACTAGCATTATAACAAAGATTTTGATCAACGAACAAAGCAACATGCTTCAGAATATCAATACATGCAGTTATTCACAACCTTACTATAAGCCCTACTCTTCTGCACAATGGTAACGATCAAAACTTCAACATAATAGAAACTCTTTCAAATGTCAAACATAACTGAACATTAAACATTAACAGATTTCCCTTTACTCAAAACACATCAAATAACACTTAATTTCAATATTTCCTCTCCATTACCAGCCATGTGCAAAGCATCCTGGGAACTAACAATGGTGTCTCTAAATAAAACCGCATAATTGAGCCAATTCTCTTAAAATAAATTGGTAGCCCTTTTCCCTTAATTTTATCAGCTGAATCGTCCTCAATTCAAGCCTCAAGCCCCTTTCCTTAAAATAATTAGGAAAATGTATCTCTTGGTTTTATTAGTGAAATGTTCTCAATATTTTCTATACAACACTGAACCACAATTTTCTTAATAGAATATACACAATATTTTTAATTATCACCTTCATTTTTTTTAATGAAAATTACAAGACCCATGATTCATTTTTTACAGTGTTCATAAAGAGATAGTAAAACTAATCTACATGGATTGAGCAGTTTAGTCTGCTTAATATTTCTGTAAAAACAGTGATCTTTTTTTCAGTTTTTTTTTGATAAATAAAAAGTAAAAAACAAACAAATAAAAATGGTAAATAAATTAAATGTTTTACAGTTATAAAGTGTGACAAGCAGAATTCACAACCAAAGGTTACTTTTTTTTCAGTTTGCAAAGCATAAAAATGCATACACATGATCAAAAATGTAAGATATAATGTTAGCCTTATTTTTGAACTTTGATTTATCATACAAAAGAAAACAAAATATCTAGCCAAACTCCAAGTTGTGGTACTCTATTATTTATATCTCGGGTTGATAAATATTGAGTCCATTATATCTAGTTAAAGGGATAGTTCACTCACAAATTAAAATTATCCCATGATTTACTCATGAGTAATCCTTTTGCACCCACAAGCCACTCTAGGTGTATTTGACTATATTCTTTCAGACGAACACAATCAGAGTTATATTAAAAAATAGTATTGCTCTTCCAAGCTTTATAATGGCAGTGAATGGCGGTCCTGATTTTGAAGTCCAAAAAAGTGCATCCATCCATCATAAAAGTAATAGTCTCTCTATTAGCAGTTCATGCCTCTCACGGTTCAAACAAACCGGGCAGCAAACTCAAGCTCCGACATTTCCCTTTAAAAAAATTGTTTTAGACTTCTAATTCGTGACATTTTTGGGTGAACTATCCTTTTAATGTGTCTGCAATACCTACATGTCGCCAGAATGTGGAGCTATAAATCCTCTTCCTCAACCTGGGTTAGATATGAGAGAGAGAGAGAGAGAGAGAGAGAGAGAGAGAGAGAGAGAGAGAGAGAGAGAGAGAGAGAGAGAGAGAGAGAGAGAGAGAGAGAGAGAGAGAGAGAGAGAGAGAGGTAGGCTGCCTCTGCAAATAGTGCACAGAACTCCTATTCATAGCCATGCTAATCACCAAGGTAACGGTCACACACCATGCTCAACTCATTCCAAGCCCCATTCTTTGCAAACACAGTCTCTTCAATTATTCATACTGTAATACAGCTCCCTGCAATTTGAACAGAATGCAGTTTGTGTGTTGCGGATGCCATACTTCAGTCTTCAAAACAGTCTGAACATATGCTCTCACCAACATGTTTCTAAAGAAATGTGGTAACACTTTACAATAAGGTTTTATTTGTTAATGTTTGTTAATGCCTTAGCTAACGTGAACTAACAATGAGCAGTATATTTTTAAAGCATTTACTAAACTTATTTTAAATAATTTTTATTTAAATTATTTAAAAATCATTATTTGTTCACGTTAGTTCACACTCTATTAATGAATGTTAACAAATACAACTTTGGTTTTGAAAAATGTATTGATAAATGTTGAAATTACCAAAGACAAATAAATGCTGTAAAAGTATTGTTCATTAATATTAATGTACTATATGTCTGCAGTACAGTAGTTATATTATAGTACAGGCTATAATATGATATATATAACAAACTATAATATATAACAAACTATGCAATATAGTAATATAGTATAAC